CTGAAGGAGTGGTCTGCTCAGTGTGTGGGTAGATGTTTGGGCGTTTCCTTAGGGGCTACCTCGGTGGAAAGTCCAAACCAGGTGCCCGCATTGCACATTCCACCTGAGTATGGGGATCTGGCTATCGCGTTTAGTAAGGCGAGGGCGACGCGATTGCCACCCCATAGGCAGGGGGATTGTGCGATAGACCTTCAGGCAGGAGCTGCGCTCCCACGGAGTCATGTGTATCCTCTGTCTCAGGAGGAGAAGAAAGCTATGGAGGTTTACATAGACGAATCACTGAGACAAGGATACATACGGCCGTCCACTTCCCCCGCGTCCTCGAGTTTCTTTTTCGTGAAGAAGAAGGATGGGGGGTTGCGTCCGTGCATCGACTACCGTGGTCTCAATCAGATTACGGTGAAGTATAGTTATCCACTCCCGCTGATTGCGACCATGACTGAGTCGTTGCATGGGGCGCGTTTCTTCACGAAATTAGATCTCAGGAGCGCGTACAACTTGGTGCGCATCAGGAAGGATGATGAATGGAAAACAGCCTTTAGTACCACCTCGGGCCATTACGAGTATCTCGTCATGCCATACGGGTTGATGAATGCTCCGTCAGTTTTCCAATCATTCGTGGATGAGATCTTCAGGGACATGCAGGGACAGGGAGTGGTGGTGTACATAGATGACATCCTCGTGTACTCACCTACCCGTGTCGAGCATGTGGCCCTGGTGCGCAGAGTGTTGCGGAGGCTGGTGGAGCACGACCTGTATGTGAAGGCAGAGAAGTGTCTGTTTTTCCAGGAGTCGATTTCCTTCTTGGGGTATCAGTTGTCTGCGTCAGGGGTGAAGATGGAGGTAGACCGAGTGTCAGCCGTGAGTAATTGGCAAACACCAACCACTGTGAAAGAGGTGCAGCAGTTTTTGGGGTTTGCGAATTACTACCGGAGGTTTATCCGGGGTTTTGGGCAGGTGGCAGCTCCCATCACGTCTCTCTTAAAGGGGGGCCCGGTGCGTCTGCAGTGGTCAGTCGAGGCGGACAGGGCTTTTAAGAAGCTGAAGGACCTGTTCACCTCGGCTCCGGTGCTGGCGCATCCGGATCCCTCTTTACCATTTCAGGTAGAGGTGGACGCGTCTGAAGCCGGTATTGGCGCCGTGCTGTCCCAACGGTCAGGTGCGCCACCTAAACTCCGCCCCGTTGCCTTCTATTCCAAGAAGCTCAGCCCGGCGGAGCGAAATTATGACGTAGGGGACAGGGAGCTGTTAGCTGTGGTCCAAGCCCTTAAGGTGTGGAGGCACTGGCTTGAGGGGGCTCAACACCCTTTCCTCATTTTGACGGACCACCGTAACCTGGAGTACATCCGGGCAGCGAGGAGGCTGAACCCTCGACAGGCTAGATGGAGTATGTTTTTGACCCGTTTCTCTTTTAAGATCACCTACATCCCTGGGTCACAAAACGGTAAGGCAGATGCACTGTCTCGGCGGTATGACGGGGAGGAGAGGTCCGTGGAGCCCACTCCCATACTGCCGGAGTCGTGTCTAGTGGCACCGGTGGTGTGGGAGCTCGATTCTGAGCTCGAGCGGGCATTACGCACCGACCCTAGTCCACCACAATGCCCGGAGGGTCGGAAGTATGTTCCGCTCGAGTGTCGGGATCGATTGATCTATTGGGCTCACACGTCACCCTCCTCTGGACATCCGGGTATCGGCCGGACAGTGCACTGTCTTAGTGCCAAATATTGGTGGCCTACGTTGGCCAGGGATGTGAGGGTTTATGTTTCCTCCTGCTCGGTGTGCGCCCAGTGTAAGGCGCCTAGACATCTGCCTAGGGGTAAGTTACTACCCCTGCCCGTTCCACAACGACCATGGTCCCACCTCTCGGTGGATTTTATAACTGACCTTCCCCTCTCTCAAGGGAATACTACACTCCTGGTCGTTGTGGATCGGTTCTCTAAGGCCTGTCGTTTGCTCCCCATGCCGGGTCTTCCTACTGCCCTACAAACCGCCGAAGCACTATTCACTCATGTGTTCCGGCACTACGGGGTGCCCGAGGACATTGTGGCTGACCGGGGTCCCCAATTCACCTCCAGAGTCTGGAGAGCTTTTATGGAGCGGTTGGGGGTCTCGGTGAGTCTCACCTCGGGTTACCACCCGGAGAGTAATGGGCAGGTGGAACGCGTAAACCAGGATGTGGGCAGGTTTCTCAGAACATACTGCCGGGACCGGCCGGAGGAGTGGGCGAGATATGTGCCCTGGGCTGAGATGGCACAGAACTCTCTTCGCCACTCCTCCACCCAACTACTAACCCCTTTTCAGTGTGTTTTAGGGTACCAGCCGGTTCTGGCACCATGGCATGAGAGCCAGATCGAGGCCCCCGCTGTGGATGAGTGGGTGCGGCGCTCGGAGGAGACGTGGAACGCTGCACACGTCCATCTGCAGCGTGCCATACGTCGACAGAAGACGAGCGCCGACCTACACCGCAGTGAGGGGCCTGTGTACGCACCTGGAGATCGAGTCTGGCTCTCTGCCAGAAACCTGCCCCTCCGCCTGCCCTGTCGGAAACTGGGTCGGCGGTTTGTAGGGCCATTTAAAGTCCTGAGAAGGTTGAACGAGGTTTGTTATAGATTACAGTTGCCAGTGGAGTATAAATGTATTAACCCCTCGTTCCATGTGTCCCTTCTCAGGCCGGTGGTAGCAGGCCCGCTCCAAGAACATGAGATCTTGGAGACCCCCCCGCCCCCGTTGGACATCGAGGGGGCACCGGCGTACACCGTGAGATCCATCTTGGATTCTAGACGTCGGAGAGGGGGTCTTCAGTATCTAGTGGAGTGGGAGGGGTACGGTCCGGAGGAGCGGTGCTGGGTGCCGAGGAGAGACATCTTGGACCCGTCGCTCCTGACGGAATTCCATCGGGGGTATCCGACGCGCCCTGCGCCGCGGCCTCCGGGTCGTCCCCAAGGCCGGAGTCGGCGCGCGTCTGGAGCCGCGCGTCAAGGGGGGGGGTACTGTCACGGTTTCGGCCGAGGCTGCCTCTCTCCCTTGTTCGGGCAGGCTTCGGCGTTCGTCGTCTCCGGAATTCTAGCTGCCACCGATTTATGTTTTCATGTTCGTTTGCTTTTGTCTGTTTGTGTCACACCTGTTTCTGTTTTACGTGATTAGTGTCCTATAAGTTTCTCGTTGTGTTTGTCTTGTGTTGTGTGTGATTGTTTTCGTCGGTGTAGTGTTTGCTCGGTTGAGCATATTTCTCTCCACTGCGCTGGAGCTCGTTTGCACTTGTTTCGTGCACTACTTATTTTGTTGCACCTGTTTGTGCGCATTTTGCCTACACGCCTTTGGCGTAGTTTAGCTGTTGGGCTTTGTTGCCCTGTTGCCTGTGTTTGGGTCGGAATACAGCTTTTGGAACCTACCGTCTGCGTCCTGCATCTGATTTCCTACACCACACCTACACACGCCCTGACAGATGTAGTATGGGGGTAGCAGACGCATGCTATTCACTTCCATCTCGGAGGTGGCAGAGGTTTTATGGCTGGTTTTATGATGTTTATAATAAAGCAATTCTAGTGGACTGAAAAGGGATCATTGGGTGAGGTCAAAGGTCAAGTCAATCATCATTAACTAGTTTGTGACCAGCATTTTTCAATTTTGCTTGAAAGCAGATGTGGGTTTGCATGTCCAGTACGTGTGTAAAAGTAACACAGGACAGGAGCCAGGGCCTCAGCCACCTATGTACTGTACACGGAGCACGTCATTGTTAATAACACCGTTTTGACCTTCCTGTCCTCACCTACACTCTTAGAAAAAAGGGTTCCAAAAGGGTTCTTCGGCTATCCCCATAGGGTAACCCTTTTTTGTTCCAGGTAGAACCCTTTTTGGTTCTAGATAGAACCTTTTTGGGTTCCATATAGAACTCTGTGGAAAGGGTTGTACATGGAACCCAAAAGGGTTATTCAAAGGGTTCTCTTAAGGGGACAGCCGAAGAACCCTTTTAGGTTCTAGATATCACCTTTTTTTCTAAGAGTATAGAGGTAAAAGCCTGTAATCACCTGGCCATCGCTTCAGTCAATCAAATCACCAGGGCCACCCATTGCATGGTAGCTACAGCTCCATCTGAAGGTGTTTAAAAAGAACAAAGGGTTCTGATTCCGGAACTTTTCGAGCTAAGAGTCTGGAATTATTGGAGCATACGTATGTGGACAGTATGGAGACTTCTATTGATAGGAGTAGAGTCTGTAATGAGGTTAGTTAGATGCAGGGGCAGGTCTGTGGTAGGCGTGTGCCAGGAGAGACCAATCGTTCAGCCTCTGGTCTGGTTCCCCTCTCTGAGGGCTCTCTGAGGGGGGTTGACAGGATATAGCTGCCCACGCTATAGAATACCCCTCAGATACAATCACCGAGCCATCAGGCTCAACTCACATGTGATTGCAATTTATGCTCAATTTAATGGTGGAGAGTTGCACTGGGAAAAAGCCCCTAATGTGGAAAGTTTAAGTATGTGCAATTTCAGACATCAGACCTTCCAAAAGTCCACTGTAATAATGGGCTAATGGTTTTGTTTCCTTTTGCGGTGTCTTGTGTTTATAAGATGATGCTGAAATGGACGTACAGTGGTAAAACATTGCACACAATAGTTTGCCAATACAGCAGTGCACAGGCATGTTTAGAAGAAAAAAAACTGTTGCTCCAACAAACTGTTCTTTTACAGTGCAGTATTGTTGTATCAAAATATTAGTGATAACAGTTTTAGGCAAAGTTCACTGGTAGAGAAGTAACAGAAACAGATTCAATATATTAAATGGAGTAGTCGGTGAGCTCTGCTACTCTCTCTGTGTGTGTGTCAGGGGGTGTGGAGTTTAGAATGCCTGAAGAGAAGCGGCTCGGCTGAGTGGAGCGTAGCAGCGTGTGTGTGAGAGAGAGAGAGCGAGAGAGAGAGAGAGAGAGAGAGAGAGAGTGTGTGGGGGAGAGAGAGTGTGTGTGGGGGAGAGTCAGTCAGTCAGTTGGGCTGCTGCTGCCTCACCATGGCTGTGCTCTCTGCTGAGGTCCTGCGCTGGCATGTGAGTTTCTACACCTCTTTTCTCTTGCTCTCGCACTCACTTTCTTTTATCCTCCTCTTCTCTTTCTTTTTGCATGCTTTGGAATGTTTGTGTGGGCCATTCATAGGAAACTTGAATGTTATTAGCTAAAGTTATACAGATGTTATCTGAATGAGTAGCCTCCTGGTTGTTTTGCTACTTGTAGAGCATTGTTGAAATATTTGCATGTATTATACGTCTGTTTACTGTCATCACTAAATACTAATTTTACTTAGAGATGATTAGGGCCAGCAGCATACCACCCTGCATCCCGCTGCTGGCTTTCCTCTGAAGCTAAGTAGGGTTGGTCCTGGATGGGAGACCAGATGCAGCTGGAAGTGGTGTTCGAGGGCCCCAGGGCAGTGATTGTGGACATTGCCCTGTGTAGGGTGTCGTCTTTCAGATGGGATGTTAACGGGTGTCCTGACTCTCTGTGGTCACTAAAGATCCCATGGCACTTATCGTAAGAGTAGGTGTGTTAACCCCGGTGTCATGGCTAAATTCCCAATCTGGCCCTCATGGCCACCTAATCATCCCCAGCTTCCAATTGGCTCATTCATTCCTCCTCTCCCATGTAACTATTCCCCAGGTCGTTGCTGTAAATGAGAATGTGTTCTCAGTCAATTTACCTGGTAAAATAAGGGTAAAAAAAAAAAAAGTTGTGTGATTGAGATGTTTATTTTGCCAGAGTGTGGAACTTTGTTTGGTGTTTTCCGAGTCTCTGCGTTTTGTGGTTAGTAGTGAGAGAGTTGGCTCTGTTAGTGTGTGTGTGTGTGTGTGTGTGTGTGTGTGTTTGAGTGTGTGTGTGTGTATGTGTGTGTGTGAATGTGTATGTGATTGTGTGTGTGTGTGTGTGAATGTGTGTGTGTGTGTGTGTGTGTGTGTGAATGTGTGTGTGAGTGTGTGTGTTATGGAATGTCCTGGGGCTATACGGTGTGTGTTAGACACACTTCCTGACACTGAGACAAGATAGAGCTGTAGATACCACAGAACATGACATGACTTGGAGCCTGAAGACAGCAATGTTTAGAAACTCTGGCAATACATTTGTGTCAAAAAGCCAAAAACTGCTTTTAAGCATAAACCTGTGTGTCAGTGAATTGAGTTATGATTTTGGGAAAATTAAATGTACTTAGAGATATATTAGTGTGATAAGAACTTGCATGACATTGCATCTATACTGAAGCAATAATAGTCTACAATTGTATGTCATAGATGTCATAGATGAATGATGATAGGGCAAAAATCATTCAGCTATAGTAACGATTATAATATAATCATATATTACAACATGAACCCTATAAGTTCATTATGTTCATGAAGTGAAATCCTTCATTACTGTAGTCCCACCCTTTGGACAACCATGCATGAATTAAAGATCATGTGAAATGACAGAGTTGATATTCTCTGTTGAGCTGACTGATCAGACATGAAAGCCCAGTCCTATGCAGACCCAGTCTGAGGGTCAGAGTACAGATAATGATGGAGGCTGCTGCTGCTGACATTCCTGCTTTGAAATTGCTACCTGAGGAAATAGCCACTGGCATGTTGAACCAACCCAGGGAGAAATACAGAGAATGAGAATATCTCTCACCACAAACCTACTGCCCTGAAATAGCAATCTAACTAAGGGGTGGTGCCTCTTATTTGCCCAGACAAAACATTGTATTTCTGAAGAGTATGCAGGTTTACTGTGACAATGGTAACTATTCAAATCTGTCATAAGTTGTAGTGATTCTATGAAATGCTAGCACGTGCATGTAATGAGGACAATGCGTTCTCTCTCTGCTCTCTGTAGGTCCGTATCGAGGAGCTGGAGGAGGAACTGGAGACAGAGAGAGCCATGAGAGCCAAGGTACAGTACATCTGTCACTGGTCCAGTACTGTAACCACTACATTATCACCTAACTCTATGACACCTATGGCATCCATAACTCACTGGAGTTGGGCTGTAATTAGTGTTATAGGGCTATGAGCTAGAGTTAGCGTTATGTTTGGAGGTGCTGTGGCCAGTATTGTGGTCTACTGTGGTCAGTGCAAGGCATGTCCTGAACTGTCAGAGTGAATGTTTGTGGTGTTGGGCTGAATCCCAGAGCTTGCTGAGGGAGAGATGAGATGAGTCCTGTATCACATATCAGTCAGACATAAGAGCAGTCCAAGGTGCTGTGGGATGAGATGAGCTTTGCTCGGCTGTAATACTCTGTGAGACGTGGTGCAGCTAAGAGCTGACATAGGAATGAAACCTTGGAAGGGAAGTCAAGGAGAGAGAAGGTAAAGGAGGAATACTGTGGAAGGGATGTTAGGTTTGTAGAATGAAATAGAGAATCAGTAAGGTGGGATGTTGATTTCAGACAGGAAGGGTTCACTTGGAGTAGGGAAGTGGGATGTAGGGAAATGGGAGTGAGTGGGTTTGGGGGACCTGGTGTTTGGCATGCTGGTGGGGTAAAGAGGTCTGTCCCGTGCCTCTGGTGGTTACCCCAAATCAGCTGCACCTGTGATAATAAATGAGAGGAAAGCCCTGGTGTTTCTGGTTAACTTACAGAGCAACCCCAGAGGCAGACAGAGCCCCTACATCCGACCATTTCACACACGCATGCAAACACAAACGCACATGCGCTTCTTATGTGAAACGAGACTTGAGTTTTGTGTATTAGAGAGACAGACCCTGCTGTGATTCCACTGTAGCAATAAGTAGGCCAGAGATGGAAAGATTCATATTTCATCCTCAGGTGGTGAATGGAGTGACATCCAGTCCCTTTAGGCTGTTTGCACACTTCTTCCCTAGCTCTGGGTGGTACACACACACACACACACACTCACACACACACACACACACACACACACACACACACACACACACACACACACACACACACACACACACACACACACACACACACACACACTGGGTGGTATCCCTACCTAGTAGCCCTGGGCTCTCCCTGCCTCCTATTAAACCCAGCAGAGTGTGAGAGACAGAGACAGGCAGAGACATGTAGAGCTTTATCTGCAGGGTCTTCTCAGTGTCTCTAACACACATACCAGCGCTGCAGACAGGCTGTCCATTGTTTGGCTCAGCTCAGGTAGGGAGAGATGAGGAGATAGTACCAGGAGATAGTGACGGCACTGTTTCCCATGGGATCTTCTCCCCAGTGGAATGTCGGACACACACACACACAAATGCTCACACACAAACTCCCTGACACTCTCATGCAAACAAGAGATGTCTGCCTTTCCACATGGACTAAGACAAAGCTGACCTTCCTTTAGCCTCTTTAGTTTACAACAGAAAGGGAACGGTTGTGAAGTGTGTTGAGCTGAAGTAGCTGTTGACACTGGAGTGGACGAGAGTGATGACAGAAACAGGTCAGAGGTCAGAGTGCATGGGGGAGACAGAGATAGGGAGCTATAGGGGTAGAGTGGGGAGGGTAGAGTGGGGAGGGGTGAGTGCACGGGAAACTGAAAGATGAGATCCCTCTGCTTGGTTGGAGCTGAAATGAGATTAGTCTGTTTTCACTTTGAGAGCTGATGAACCATGTCAAGAGGAAGACCATACAGAAAAGACATAGATAATGTAGAATATCAGGTAGTGTTGCCTACAATACCCTACCACCCTTACCAGTGGACTGAAGCTTTAACCTTTTGCTGCAGTGGGCTAAATCAGAGTGTTTCTTGGTAGTCTTAAACAAATCTACTTGGAAACAAAAGTGTACACCTCACACAAATGGTTATGGGCTTAGAAAAAAGAAGACACCTGTACCATGTCAGATATAGTTTGCGTCCCATTATTGCACTTTATATACATCACAGAAGACTGAAATATAACAAAACTGTTTGACATAGAAACACCCGATTTTCGACATTTAAAAAATAATAATGTTTAGTAATTATACAATTATGAAAAACATTAAGAACATTCTACCCATGAGGCCACTGTCACAGCGACGTGTATGCGGTAGGCGAAGTCAAGAGCAGGAAACTGAGCTACTGGCAGAAACTTTACTGGATGCAGTGCAAAATACAAAGTACACAGGCAACCTCAAACAGCGAGGAAATAATAAGACCCGCACACATGGGTAACTTCCGCAAAGACCAAAACAATTACGTACAATACACAATGAGAAACAGAGGGTTATAAAGGGAACACAATAAAACATAATGGGAAACAGGTGTAAACAATAAAGACCAAACAAGACAAACACCGAAACATCGATCGGCAGCAGCTAGTACTCCGGGGACGACGAACGCCGAAGCCTGCCCGAGCAAGGAGGAGGAGCAGCCTCGGCTGAATCCGTGACAGTACCCCCCCTCGACGCGCGGCTCCAGCTACTACCGGCCTGAGGAGAGACACATGGAACGAGGGGTTAATGCGGTAATTAATGGGCAGTTGTAACCTATAACATACCTCGTTCAATCTCCTCAGGACTTTAAATGGCCCCACAAACCGCCGACCCAGCTTCCGGCAGGGCAGGCGAAGGGGCAGGTTTCGGGTCGAGAGCCAGACCCGATCTCCCGGTGCATACACCGGAGCCTCACTGCGGTGGCGATCGGCGCTCGCCTTTTGCCGCCTGATCGCTCGCTGTAGATGGACATGCGCAGCGTTCAAGGTTTCCTCCGAGCGCCGAAACCACTCGTCCACCGCAGGGGCTTCGATCTGGCTCTGATGCCAAGGTGCCAGGACCAGCTGATAACCTAGCACACACTGAAAAGGCGTAAGGTTAGTTGAGGAGTGGCAAAGTGAGTTTTGGGCTATTTCTGCCCAGGGGATATATTCCGACCACTCCCCCTGCCGGTCCTGGCAATAGGACCTCAGAAACCTACCCACATCCTGGTTCACTCTCTCCACCTGCCCATTACTCTCGGGGTGAAACCCTGAGGTAAGGCTAATCGAGACCCCCAGATGTTCCATAAACGCCCTCCTGACTCTAGAGGTGAACAGGGGACCCCGATCAGACACTATATCCTCAGGTACCCCGTAGTGCCGGAAGACGTGTGTAAACAGGGCGTCAGCAGTTTGTAGGGCTGTAGGGAGAACTGGCATAGGAATGAGACGGTAAGCCTTTGAAAACCGATCCACAACGACCAAGATCGTCGTATTCCCCTGGGAGGGGGGAAGGTCCGTGACGAAATCCACCGAGAGGTGAGACCACGGTCATTGTGGAACGGGTAGGGGTTGTAATTTCCCTCTGGGTAGGTGTGTAGGCGCCTTACACTGAGCGCACATCGAGCAGGAGGAAACATAAACCCTCACGTCCTTAGCCAAAGTGGGCCACCAGTACTTTCCACTAAGGCAGTGCACTGTCCGTCCAATACCAGGATGGCCAGTGGAAGGTGACATGTGAGCCCAATATATTAATCGATCACGAACCTCGAGCGGCACGCACTTCCGACCCTCTGGACACTGTGGGGGAGTAGGATCGGTACGTAACGCCCGCTCGATGTCCGCATCACCTCCCATACCACCGGTGCCACCAGACAAGACTCCGGAAGTATGGGAGTAGGCTTAATGGACCTCTCCTCTGTGTCATATAGTCGGGACAGGGAGTCTGCCTTAGCGTTCTGTGACCCTAGTCTATAGGTGAGCGTAAATACAAATCGGGTGAAAAACATAGCCCACCTAGCCTGGCGAGGGTTCAGCCTCCTCGCCGCCCGGATGTACTCCAGGTTACGATGGTCAGTCAAAATGAGAAAAGGGTGTTTAGCCCCCTTAAGCCAATGCCTCCACACCTTCAGGGCTTGCACCACAGCTAACAGCTCCCTGTCCCCCACATCATAATTGCGCTCCGCCGGACTGAGCTTCTTAGAAAAGAAAGCACAGGGGCGGAGTTTAGGTGGCGTACCCGAGCGCTGAGACAGTACAGCACCGATCCCAGCCTCGGACGCATCCACCTCAACTTCGAACGCCTAAGAGGGATCTGGATGTGCCAGCACCGGAGCCGAGGTAAACAGGTCCTTCAGATGCCTAAAAGCCCTGTCCGCCTCAGCTGACCACTGCAGACTCACCTGACCCCCCTTTAGCAGGGAGGTAATGGGAGCTGCTACCTGCCCAAAGCCCCGGATAAACCTCCGGTAGTAATTGGCAAAACACAAGAACCGCTGCACCTCTTTCACCGTGGAGGGAGTCGGCCAATTGCGCACGGCTGAAACACGGTCAATCTCCATCTCCACCCCTGACGCGGACAACCGGTGTCCCAGGAAGGAGATGGACTCCTGGAAGAACAGACATTTCTCTGCCTTTGCATACAGGTCATGCTCCAACAGTCTACCAAGCACCCGACGAACCAGGGACACATGCTCTGCGCGGGTAGCGGAGTATATTAGAATGTCATCAATATACACCACTACACCCTGTCCATGTAAGTCCTGGAGAATCTCATCCACAAACGATTGGAAGACTGAAGGAGCATTCATTAACCCGTATGGCATGACGAGGTACTCATAGTGACCCTAGGTGGTACTGAATGCTGTCTTCCACTCATCTCCCTCCCTAATGCGCACCAGGTTGTACGCGCTCCTGAGATCCAATTTTGTGAAGAATCGCGCCCCGTGTAATGACTCCGTCATACTAGCAATCAGAGGGAGAGGATAGCTATATTTGATGGTGATCTGATTGAGACCACGGTAGTCAATACACGGGCGTAAACCCCCATCTTTCTTCTTCACAAAAAAGAACTAGAGGACGCAGGGGAAGTGGACAGCCGTATGTATCCCTGTCAGGAGATGAGGGCGTACACGCTCTCGTATCCCGAGGGCACCGGGTGGATGGTTGCCAGGTAGAGTTCCACCTGGAGCAGGAAACCCTGACACCCGGCAGCTGTGCCATCATAAGCCCTCGGGAGCGAGAGCCGAATCCCACTGGACCCCGGAGATGAAGCGATGGGCATAGCTGATGGTGATGGTATCGTCGGAGGAGGTGTAGACCAACTTCTTCTTTCCCATCGCTCCACGGTTTTCACCACCTGTTCCATGGCGGTGCCGAGAGCCTGGATCATAGCCGCTTGTTGTTCTACGCGCTCTTCTATTGATCCAGCTGGCACCGCCGCTCCTGCTGACTCCATGTCTAAAGGTGCGTAATTCTGTCACAGCGACGTGTATGCGGTAGGCGAAGTCAAGAGCAGGACACCGAGCTACTGGCAGAAACTTTACTGGATGCAGTGCAAAATGCAAAGTACACAGGCAACCTCAAACAGCGAGGAAATAATAAGACCCGCACACATGGGCAACTGCCGCAAAGACCAAAACAATTACGCACAATAGACAATGAGAAACAGAGGGTTATAAAGGGAACACAATAAAACATAATGGGAAACAGGTGTAAACAATAAAGACCAAACAAGACAAACACCGAAACATCGATCGGCAGCAGCTAGTACTCCGGGGACGACGAACGGCGAAGCCTGCCCGAGCAAGGAGGAGGAGCAGCCTCGGCTGAATCCGTGACAGCCACTAGGTCATTTGACTGCAGGAAAGGGCTACAGACCCCTCTCAACATTTACAACAGATTTAAAACAGCAGTATGAGATCAACATAAAAACAACAACTGCGTTCAACTGGAACTACTAAAGCTTTGATTGTTTGTGCGTTTAACGAACATATGTTTCAGGGTACTATAACTGCCACATGTGTTGCCTTGTTTTATAATGGAAATGTATCAAGTTTTAGATAAATATCGCCCAAGCCTGTCATTACCCATTTGATTGTGATTGGCCTTTGAAGATCATATTTATGGAGATGATGAATAGTCTGGTCTAGTACAACATAGATTTCATATAGACATCATTTACACATAAAATACTCACATGCTGGCCTTCTCTACCTGGACACATAGAGATGGGAGTAGCTACTGTATATGTCCAAGAAACAGGAGTCGCTCAATATTTGGACTTTACAACAGGAAGCTCCTCCCTGCTGTGCTCTGATTGGACACGTGCTCTGATCCTGACCTCTGAACCCTGTGTAGGTCACTACCTGTTGGTGTCTTTCAATCACAGAAATCCACAGGATGTGGGATCATTTTGGTGGGGCCAGATCGATTGCTTACCAATATCTTTACAGTGTTTCCAGCATATTTAATTGATAAAACTGAAGCTATCAATGTTTTGTCACCTTAGAGCCCCCTGCTGTGCTATAGATTCTCTCAGGCTGTTAAATAGATGACAACAGCTGGTTTAAACAAGGAGGATATAACCCACTGACAAGAATCTCGCTTTGCTGATGTCACTGTTTGTGGAGAGGATACTGTTAAATTGGGATAAACTGAGCAGGATCGGTTTCTGATACAATTGCACCCAGAAACAAATCTTGCATGAGCACTGGCCTCTGGCCAGCTCACTTGTAATTGTTAAGTCTATTATGAGAGACTACAAATAACTTTATGTTGTAGGTGGAGAAGCAGAGAGCTGATCTGACCAGAGAACTGGATGACCTCACTGACCGACTGGAGGAGGCAGGGGGAGCCACAGCTTCACAGGTACACATGCAGACAAACACACTCTAGCATGTAACCCTGAGATGTATTGTCATTTGCACTTCACATCACTCCATTTTCCAGTAATAGGGAGGAATGTAACAGTCACAGCCATTCTAAATGGGATGACTAGGGTCTGTCTCTCGTCTCATCTCTTATCTTCTCTTCCACCTCCCTCTCTCCCTCCATTACTCCCCTCAGATTGAAGTAAATAAAAAGCGGGAGACGGAGCTCCAACGTCTGAGGCGGGACTTGGAGGAGTCTTCTATCCAATCAGAGGCCCTGGCTGCGTCTCTAAGGAAGCGTCATGGTGATGCGATGGCGGAGCTGGGAGAGCAGTGTGAGGGTCTACAGAGGACCAGGGCCAAGCTGGACAAGGAGAAACAGAACCTACGCATGGAGGTGGAGGATCTTGCTGCCTCACTGGACACCCTGCAGAAAGCCAAGGTTAGTCAGATCTCGGATGGGAAGGCTGTCACTGAGAGTTATCACAATGACCCACATCAAGCTTTTGGAGGTGTCTTGTAAAGCCTCAAGACACCTTTACAGGTCTCAATCTTTATTCACACAAAAGAAAATCAGCCATGAACTGCCAGTGAGTGCCTATGTAATATGGCCAAAGTGCCTATAAATGCCATGTTTTCATCTTACCCCCAGGTGTCTACAGACAGCCAGATGAGGAAGCTGGAGGAGCAGCTCTTTGAGGCCCACAGCAGAGGAGACGACCTGCAGAAAGCCCTGACTGAGGTCAACGTAGCCAGGAACAGACTCACAGGTACAAGTGCAAACACACAACCACACACACAGCCAAGGAGGCGACCTAGTGAACGCTCAAAGCCTTTGGCGTGTCTCCAATGTATAGTTAACCGGGTTTACCCCTTTACTTGGCTTAAAGCGCAGAGTACAAACACTCACACAAACAGATTTAACAGAGTTAGTCAGCACTAGAACTATACACACAGATCGAACAGGGCTGTGGAGCAACAAAGATCTTATGACACAGCCTTGAGTTCAGACCAACTGGCCTACCACCAGCCAAACTCAATTCAGCCCAGTCCAGTGCTGAGCAATGGGAAACAGACACAGAAATGACTATGACACGCTAAAAGAAACTATATCATTTACAGCTTATCCACTGGACACTGCTGCTCAGGGTTGGCAGTGGAACACTATTGGCCTCAGATGGCCTTGAATGCGGCAGGGAAAGTATCATATAAAGTGCTGTCATGAACCCTCTGCGAATTCCATGAGGAGTCCTCTCTCTGTGTCTTTGCTCTGTGTATAAAAAATATTTTTAAAATATATTTACGAGTTTATATCAGTTCACTGTATGGTAAAAGTGCTGAATCGGGTACAAACCCAGTCGGTCACATCAGTATTAACCAAGTTGGTGTCTCTGTCCCCTGTATGTCCTGGTAATTGATAACACACCTGGGCCTAGATTCAATCAGATCAAGCGTTAACCCGCGATAGCAGACACCCTCAAAGCTGGTATTTTGGTGGTGTCTGAGCTGTCAAATCGGTGAGAGGCTGCTTGTGTGGTCATTGTCACGAAGCCACACCCGTCCCACTCACGTTAGAAGTTCAGAACAGGAAAGTGTAGGCTATATAGAAATAATGACACTCAAATTGAAAATCATTCAAGAAAATCATGAGGATTTCTATTAGTCTAATTGAGGTGTAGATTACTCCTCACATTCCAGTGTTCCAACTTGTATGGAAGGCTGCATGGGATTTCTCTTAATGCGATTCCATGCAGCCAATGGAAATGTCTGCTTTAGGTATAATGCCGGGAGCCGCTTGTGGATTTGACTGCACTTGCGCAGTTCCACCTCCGACACTGCCAAAAAAAACCGCTATGCGGGTGTTGACTGGCACGGATCTGATAGAATCTAGCCCCTGGTTGTGTCTCTAACTTGTCTTCACTCTGTGTGATGTTAGCTGAAAACACAGACCTGGCCAGACAGTTGGAGGAGGCAGAGAGCAGAGCCAGCCAGGTCAGCCGCTCCAAGACCCTGATTCTGACCCAACATGAAGACATCAAGAAACAGATGGACGAGGAGCTCAAGGTAGGACCAGGCAGTGGTGTGTGTGTGTGGGGAGGAGTGCTGATTGTGTGTTTGGAGGAGTGTATTTAGTACCCCTGATTATGAGGAGAGTGTTTTCAGTTGTATCAATAACTGATAAGAATTTAGGAATCCAAGCATCGGAATGACCTCATATCCCAAATATGTGTCCTCCCTACGCACAATGTTTCATTATGGATCTTTATAGCTTTCAGATGTCTGTGACAGTATGTATGTACAGTGGGGGAAAAAAGTATTTAGTCAGCCACCAATTGTGCAAGTTCTCCCACTTAAAAAGATGAGAGAGGCCTGTAATTTTCATCATAGGTACACGTCAACTATGACAGACAAAATGAGGAAAGAAAATCCAGAAAATCACATTGTAGGATTTTTAATGAATTTATTTGCAAATTATGGTGGGAAATAAGTATTTGGTCAATAACAAAAGTTACTAAATACTTTGTTATATACCCTTTGTTGGCAATGACACAGGTCAAACGTTTTCACACACTGTTGCTGGTATTTTGGCCCATTCCTCCATGCAGATCTCCTCTAGAGCAGTGATGTTTTGGGGCTGTCGCTGGGCAACACAGACTTTCAACTCCCTCCAAAGATTTTCTATGGGGTTGAGATCTGGAGACTGGCTACGCCACTCCAGGACCTTGAAATGCTTCTTACGAAGCCACTCCTTCGTTGCCCGGGCGGTGTGTTTGGGATCATTGTCATGCTGAAAGACCCAGCCACGTTTCATCTTCAATGTCCTTGCTGATGGAAGGAGGTTTTCACTCAAAATCTCACGATACATGGCCCCATTCATTCTTTCCTTTACACGGATCAGTCGTCCTGGTCCCTTTGCAGAAAAACAGCCCCAAAGCATGATGTTTCCACCCCCATGCTTCACAGTAGGTATGGTGTTCTTTGGATGCAACTCAGCATTCTTTGTCCTCCAAACACGACGAGTTGAGTTTTTACCAAAAAGTTATATTTTGGTTTCATCTGACCATATGAAATTCTCCCAATCCTCTTCTGGATCATCCAAATGCACTCTAGCAATCTTCAGACGGGCCTGGACATGTACTGGCTTAAGCAGGGGGACATGTCTGGCACTGCAGGATTTGAGTCCCTGGCGGCGTAGTGTGTTACTGATGGTAGGCTTTGTTACTTTGGTCCCAGCTCTCTGCAGGTCATTCACTAGGTCCCCCCGTGTGGTTCTGGGATTTTTGCTCACCGTTCTTGTGATCATTTTGACCCCACGGGGTGAGATCTTGCGTGGAGCCCCAGATCGAGGGAGATTATCAGTGGTCTTGTATGTCTTCCAATTCCTAATAATTGCTCCCACAGTTGATTTCTTCAAACCAAGCTGCTTACCTATTGCAGATTCAGTCTTCCCAGCCTGGAGCAGGTCTACAATTTTGTTTCTGGTGTCCTTTGACAGCTCTTTGGTCTTGGCCATAGTGGAGTTTGGAGTGTGACTGTTTGAGGTTGTGGACAGGTGTCTTTTATACTGATAACAAGTTCAAACAGGTGCCATTAATACAGGTAACGAGTGGAGGACAGAGGAGCCTTTTTAAGAAGAAGTTACAGGTCTGTGAGAGCCAGAAATCTTGCTTGTTTGTAGGTGACCAAATACTTATTTTCCACCATAATTTGCAAATAAATTCATTAAAAATCCTACAATGTGATTTTCTGGAAAAAAAATCTCAATTTGTCTGTCATAGTTGACGTGTACCTATGATGAAAATTACAGGCCTCTCTCATCTTTTTAAGTGGGAGAACTTGCACAATTGGTGGCTGACTAAATACTTTTTTTCCCCACTGTATCTCTCCCCCATTCTAAGCTGGTCCTGGGCAGCAGTCTGGCAGCGCAGCATCAGGAGTGTGTTACAGTGTATGTGACAGTGTGTGTGACAGTGTGTGTCTATTTCCCTGCCCCCAGTCTAAACTGGCCCTGGGCAGCAGTCTGGCAGGGCTGCGTCAGGAGTGTGAGGTGTTGAAGGAACAGCTGGAGGAGGAGCAGGAGAGCAAGCTGGAGCTGCAGCGCCTCGTCTCCAAACTCAACACCGAGGTCACACATTGGAGGACCAGACATGAGGCGGACGCCATACAGCACTTGGACGAACTGGAGGAGACCAAGTAAGAGACATACTAGTATACAGAACACACACACACAAACACAGCTGAGCTAGAAGACAAGAAGTAAGAGATGTATAGACATGGATCCAAAAGTTAAACCTAAAATATTGCCTACTTCTTACTAAAACAACATACTGTGTGCTAATCGTACAACATATTATTTAGAACGTATTGCTAAGTAAAAATGTATGCAGTCAGCAACAAAAAAATGCTAGGCTCACCAATACTGAGAATGCGTAATGTCTCCCGCCATTCGTTCATTTTCCTACAGCCTATCCCCTGATTATCAAGCGTTATCAAACACACATGGGTCTGAAAAGCTGATTCTCTTCTTCAATAGAACGCAGCGAATTGTACTAGATGTCAAAATTAGTATGACATCCTGGCATCTAAAGCATACTTTCTAAATTTCACATACTATAAGTATGTACAGGTATTGGGACACACTCTCACACACCTTCATATCCAGACATTTGTGTGTGTTCCAGGAAGAAGCTGGTGTCTCGGCTCCAGGAGGCTGAGGAGGCGGTGGAGGCCACCCAGGCTAAGTGCTCCTCTCTGGAGAAGACCAAGCAGAGGCTACAGGGAGAGGTGGAGGAGCTCTGTATAGACCTGGAGAAGGTAGGAGGATACTTTGGGAAAATATCATTCTTTCAGACATTAAAACATGGCAGAGGAGCTGAATTACCTACTTTATCAATGTAATCAATTAATAACTGGTCATAACTGATAATGGTAGCTGGCGGGTGATAATGACCAATCTCTCTACCTTAATTGTTCTCCCTTCCAGGCTAGTAGCTGTGGCCAGGTGCTGGATAAGAAACAGCGTATCGTGGAGAAGCAGCTGGGTGACTGGAGGCAGAAGTGTGAGGAGCTGGTGGTGGAGGTGGAGGGTTGTCAGAAGGAGAGCAGACAGCACGCCACAGAGCTCTTCAAACTGAAGACGGCCCATGAAGAGGCTCTGGAGCAGGGAGATGCCCTACGCAGAGAGAACAAGGCTTACCAGGGTGAGGGTTAACATAGGGTTAAATAACACAGTAGAAGGCCCTAGAATAAGGCCAGGGTTAGGTGATTGATTGAAGATGTACTGTAGGTAGGTGGTGAAAAGCAGAAAGTCCGGGTAGCTGTTTAATTAACTGTTCAGCAGCCTTATGGCTTTGGGGTAGGAGCTTTTCAGGAGGCTTTTGGTCCCAGACTTGAAGCTCCGTTACCCCTTGCCGTGCGGTAGCAGAGAGAACAGACTGTGACTTGGGTGGCTGGAGTCTTTGACAATTTTTAGGGCTTTCTCTGATACCGCCTGGTATAGAGGTCCTGGATGACAGGGAGCTCGGCCCCAGTGATGTACTGGGCCGTACGCACTACTATCTGTAGCGGCTTGCGGTCAGATGCCGAGCAGTTGTCATACCAAGCAGTGATGCAGCCAGACAAGATGCTCTCAATGGTGCAGCTGTAGAACTTTTGAGGATCTGAGGGCCCATGCCAAATCTTTTCAGCCTCCTGAGGGGGAAGGGGCGTTGTCGTGCCCTCTTCACGACTGTGTTGATGTGTTTGGACCATGATAGGTCCTTAGTGATGTGGACAGCAAGGAACTTGAAGCTCTCGACCGTCTCCACTACAACCCCTTCGATGTGAATGGGGGCGTGCTCGGCCCTCCATTTCCTGTAGTCCACGATCAGCTCCTTTGTCTTGCTGACATTGAGGGAGAGGTTGTTGTCCTGGCACCACACTGCCAGGTCTCTGAACTCCTCCCTGTATGCTGTCTTCTTGTCGTTGATGATCAGGCCTACCATCGTCGTGTTGTCAGCAAACTTAATGATGGTGTTGGAGTTGTGTGCGGCCACGCAGTCATGGGTGAACAGGGAGTACAGGAGGGAATTAAGCACGCAACACTAAAGGGGAACCCGTGTTGAGGGTCAGCGTGGCAGATGTTGCCTACCCTCACCACCTGGGGGCGGCCCGTCAGAAAGTCAAGAATCCAATTGCAGAGGGAGTTGTTTAATCCCAGGGTCCTTATTTTTGTGATGAGTTTGGAGAGCACTATGGTGTTGAACACTGAGCTGTAGTTAATGAACAGCATTCTCACGTACAGTTGAAGTCGGAAGTTTACATACACTTAGGTTGGAGTCATTACAACTCGTTTTTTCAACCACTCCACAAATTTCTTGTTAACAAATTATAGTTTTGGCAAGTCGGTTAGGACATCTACTTTGTGCATGACACAAGTAATTTTTCCAACAATTGTTTACAGACAGATTATTTCACTTATAATTCACTGTATTACAATTCCAGTGGGTCAGAAGTTTACATACACTAAGTTGACTGTGCCTTTAAACAGCTTGGAAAATTCCAGAAAATGATTCCATGGCTTTAGAAGCTTCTGATAGGCTAATTGACATCATTTGAGTCAATTGTAGGTGTACCTGTGGATGTATTTCAAGGCCTACCTTCAAACTCAGTGCCTCTTTGCTTGACATCATGGGAAAATCTAAAGAAATCAGCCAAGACCTCAGAAAAAAAATTGTCTGGTTCATCCTTGGGAGCAATTTCCGAACGCCTGAAGGTACCATGTTCATCTGTACAAACAATAGTATGCAAGTATAAACACCATGGGACCACGCAGCCGTCATACCGCTCAGGAAGGAGACGCGTTCTGTCTCCTAGAGATGAACGTACTTTGGTGCGAAAAGTGCAAATCAATCCCAGAACAATAGCAAAGGACCTTGTGAAGATGCTGGAGGAAACAGGTACAAAAGTATCTATATCCACAGTAAAACAAGTCCTATATCGACATAACCTGAAAGGCCGCTCAGCAAGGAAGAAGCCACTGCTCCAAAACCGCCATTAAAAAGCCAGACTATGGTTTGCAACTGCACATGGGGACAAAGATCGTACTTTTTGTAGAAATGTCCTCTGGCCTCATGAAACATAAATAGAACCGTTTGGTCATAATGACCATCGTTATGTTTGGAGGAAAAAGGGTGTGCTTGCAAGCCGAAGAACACCATCCCAACCGTGAAGCACGGGGGTTGCAGCATCATGCTGTAGGAAAGACTGGTGCACTTCACAAAATAGATGGCATCATGAGGAAGGGAAATTATGTGGATATATTGAAGCAACATCTCAAGACATCAGTCAGGAAGCTAAATCTTGGTCGCAAATGGGTCTTCCAAATGGACAAGCATACTTCCAAAGTTGTGGCAAAATAGCTTAAGGATGACAAAGTCAAGGTATTGGAGTGGCCATCACAAAGCCCTGACTTCAATCCTATAGAAAATGTGTGGGCAGAACTGAAAAAGTGTGAGCGAGCAAGGAGGCCTACAAACCTGACTCATTTACACCAGCTCTGTCAGGAGGAATAGGCCAAAATTCACCCAACTTATTGTGGGAAGCTTGTGGAAGGCTATCCGAAATGTTTGACCCAAGTTAAACAATTTAAAGGCAATGCTACCAAATACTAATTGAGTGTATGTAAACTTCTGACCCACTGGGAATGTGATGAAAGAAATAAAAGCTGAAATAAATCATTTTCTCTACTATTATTCTGACATTTCACATTCTTAAAATAAAGTGGTGATCCTAACTGACCTAAGACAGGGAATTTTTATTAGGATTAAATGTCAGGAATTGTGAAAAACTGAGTTTTAAATGTTTTTGGCTAAGGTGTATGTACATTTCCGACTTCAACTGTAGGCCTTCCTTTTGTCCAAGTGGGAGAGGGCAATGTTAAGTGCAATAGAGATGGCGTCATCTGTGGATCTGTTGGGGCGGAATGTGAATTGGAGTGGATCCAGAGTGTCTGGAATGATGGTGTTGATGTGAGCCATGACCAGCCTTTCAAAGCATTTCATGGCTACAGATGCGATAGTCATTAAGACAAGTTACCTTAGCGTTCTTGGGCACAGAGACTATGGTGGTCTGCTTGAAACATGTGGGTATTACAGACTGGGTCAGGGAGAGGTTGAAAATGTAAGTGAAGACACTTGCTCGCTGGTCAGCGCATGCTCTGAGTACGCGTCCTGGTAATCCATCTGGCCCTGCGGCCTTGTGAATGTTAACTTGTTTTAAGGTCTTACTCACATTAGCTACAGAGAGCATGATCACAAAGTCGTCCGGAACAGCTGGTGCTCTCATGTATGGTTCAGTGTTGCTTGCCTCGAAGAGAGCATAGAAGGCATTTAGCTCATCTGGTAGGCTCGCGTCACTGGGCAGCTCGCGGCTGGGTTTCCTTTTGTAATCCATGATAGTTTGCAAGCCCCATCCGACAAGTGTCAGAGCCAGTGTAGTAGGATTCGATCGCAGTCCTGTATTTACACTTTGCCTGTGTGATGGTTCGTTGGAGGGCGTAGCAGCATTTCTTATAACTGTCTGGATTTGTGTCCCGCTCCTTAAAAAGCAGCAGCTCTAGCCTTTAGCTCAGTGTGGATGTTGCCTGTAATCCATGGCTTCTGGTTAGGATATGTACGTACATACGGTCACTGTGGGGAGTACGTCATTGATGCACTTATTAATGAAGCCGGTGACTGATGTGGTAAACTCCTCAATGCCATTGGATGAATCCCAGGAACATATTCCAATCTGTGCTAGCGAAACAGTCTTGTAGTTTAAGGTTAGAGATGATACATGTTTAAAGCCCAGGGTAAAAAGGAAAACTTCCACTTACTGACATAATGGAGGCCATTAGGTTTTCCACAGGGCTCCGTTTTAGACACTCTTATTTACATGAAAAATATTAGGCAAAACATTCTCATGATCTCTCTTGAAATGTTTTCTGCGTGACTGAGTGTAACTTCTCTGTCGTTAACTCAGAGGAGATAGCTGACCTGACTGACCAGCTCTCGGATGGAGGGAAGAGCGTCCACGAGCTGCAGAAGACGAAGAAGAAGATAGAGATGGAGAAGGAGGAGCTGCAGGCCTCACTGGAAGAGTCTGAAGCTGCCTTAGAGGTATGGAGGTTACAGTAGGAGGTGGTCATATTGGGTGGAATGGTTACAGTAAAATAAGTCTACACCAAGCATTCCACAACTATTACGTAATATGTATTTGAATTTGTTATCTTACATCAACACCACATTCAATATTATTTGATCTCTGTTTACGTTTGAGTTAAATTCTCCTCAGCGTACGTCATACATAATGTAAGACTGTGAGGTGTGGATGTGAAACATTGTGGCAGCTCTTTGGCAGATCTGACAGTGAAAGGGGAGAAAAGGCCCCAGACGACATGTTTCAATTAGTATTGGCCAGTCAGGCAGGCAGGGAGCAGACAGATCCCAGCCACTGATAACACTACACAATCAGCTATCTGCTCCTATAATCAGCCTGGCCCTCCAGGGATTGGAGTCTTACAAGACAGGAGCCCCCTGGCTGCTCGGCATAGATGGTTTATTCACCCACCTCTCTCTCCTTTTCTTTCCCTCTCTCTCCCACCCCCTCTTTTGCTCTCCTTTCCCCCCCTCCCCCCTCCCCCTCTCCAGGCTGAGGAGACCAAGGTGCTGCGTCTGCATCTGGAACTGTCCCAGGCTAAAGGAGACATGGAGAGGAGACTCCAGGAGAAAGAGGAGGAGTTTGAGGCAGCAAGGTACCCACTGTCCATGTATTTTTTTTAAAAGTTGTTTGTCTTTCTTTTCAACTGAAAGTGAAATGACGTGTTCATATGCTATATAGCAGGGCCCCGACATCCAGGGGGCCCGCAAACCAATACTCCCCCCCCCCGGAGATCGGGGGCACATGCCCTGCGTACCCGTTTGGTAATCCAACCCTGCTTTTTCAGTTGCTTGCTCTATTGATAACCCCATTCTCTCTGTCTCTCGCTCCCCCTTCCAGGAAGAGCCACCAGAGGGCGCTGGACTCCCTTCAGGCCAGTCTGGATGTGGAGGTCAAAGGTCGTGGTGAGGGGTTGAGGGTGAAGAAGAAGCTGGAGTCTGACCTAAATGAGCTGGAACTACAGGTGGACCTGCTCACCAAGAACAACACAGAGCTCACCAAGAACACAAAGAAGATGCAGCAGCAGATCAAGGTGAGATTCTACACCTCTCTCTCTCTCTCCGAGAGAGAGAGAAGAGAGAGAGAGAGGAGAGAGGAGCAGAGAGAGAGAGCGAGAGAAGAGAGAAGGAGAGAGCGAGAGCAGCGGTCTATCTCTAGCGAGAGTGCTCTTCGATATCTCCCGCTCCTTATAGATCCCTCTCTCTCTCTCTCTCTCTCTCTCTCTATCTCTCCTCTATCGTCTCCTCTCTCTCGCTCTCTCTCTACTCTCCTCTCTCTCTCTCGTCTCTCTCTCTCCTCATCTTTTTACTCTCCGCCTCCTCCTCCTCCTCCTTAGTTTTTCCTCATTCCCTCTATTCCCTTACTCCTTCCTTTACCCAGTCTCCTCTGCTTGCCCCACTCTTTCTTCAGTGTTTCTCTCGCTTTCTCTACCTCCTTTTCTCTCCTCTTTCCACCCTCTGAGAGGAGCTGCATACAGAATGTGATTGCTTGATTAGTGGATTGACCTCTTCTCTCCTTTTCTTTCTTAGGAACTGCAGGACCAATTGGAGGAGGAGGTGCGTGGGCAGGAGGAGCAGAGGGAGGAGCAGACTGTTTTGGAGCGACGCTGCCTCCTGCTAGTGAGCGAGGGAGAGGAGACACGCGGGGCATTGGAAAACGCTGAGAGACAACGCAAAACCTTAGAGATTGAGCTTACAGAGACCAACGAGAAGTACAACGACCTCAACAACCAGGTAGAGTACAGATCGCAACACTCTCTGTTCAGCGTTTACATCAATAATACATCAAATTAAACTGGTTTAGTTACATTACTAAACTCCCTTATGAACATTAGGTTTAAAGCTCTCAGTTTCTTACTGAACAAACAAGGAAAAACAGAACTTCAACCTATAAATGGATCTCCAATGCTAAATTTGATGTGTTCTACCTCATGTTGTCATGTTCATGGTGGTTCTATTTCCTCCTGTAGTTCCAGTCAGCGCTGAGTGGTAGGAGGAAACTGGATGTGGATCTACAGGCACTGCAGCAGGAGCATGAGGAGCTGCAGAACGAACTGAGAGGAGCCAACGACAAGATCAAGAAGGCCAACTGTGAGGTAGGACAATACTGGATTTTTGATCATTAGGATAATTGATTTTAATTGACTTGTCAATAGAACATAATTTATATATTTTTTAAAATAAAAATGTATTTCTCCAAGTATCAACACAATACAAATGTACTGTATGTATGCCTGTCTTTGAGAACCAGTGGAATAGATATTGATGTCTCTCTGTCCCCTCTCTCCAGGGAGCACGTGTGTCAGAGGAGTTGAGGTTAGAGCAGGACCACACCCTGCACATGGAGCGGGTGAAGAAGGGTCTGGAGGCCCAGATAAAGGACATGGGCACCAGGCTGGATGAGGCTGAGCAGATGGCCCTCAAAGGAGGCAAGAAGATCATCCAGAAACTGGAGGGCAAGGTAAGCACACACACAAAACTCACATATGCACAAACACTGTTCCTAAACTTTGAAATGGCTGTTTCTGTCACATTGCCCAGTTTTTCAGGTTTACAGAGAAAGATGGGCATCAAAATGTATATTTTTCTAGACTGACCATGTGTCTGTCTCTAGGTGAAGGAGCTGGAGTTGGAGCTGGACTCGGAGCTGAAGCGTCACGCTGAGACAGTGAAGACGCTGCGTAAGAACGAGCGTCGTCTGAAGGAGCTGCTGTTCCAGTCCGAGGAGGACCAGAAGAACCAACACCGCATGCAGGAACTGGTGGAGAGACTCCAGAACAAGATGAAGGCCTACAAGAGACAAGTAGAGGAGACGGTAAGGCTCTTGTCTGTCTGTCTGTTTGCCTGTCTGTCCATCTGTCCATCCATCTGTTTCTCTCGCTCTCTCTCCCTCTTCCCCTCCTCTCGCTTTCTCTCTGTCAGTCTATCTCTGTTTCTCTCATTCCGTTCTCTAGACTCCATATTTTGCTTTACAACATGACTTGCACCTTTCCTAAAAGGAGGAGCAGGCCAACATGAACCTCGCTAAGTACAGGAAGACAGTACATGAGCTGGACGATGCTGAGGAAAGGGCAGACATCGCTGAGTCAGCCCTCACCAAGATCAGGACCAAGAACCGCGGCAGCTTCAGCAAGGGATACTCCTCTGTAAGTCCCATAACCTTACCACATGAACTTGAATTCAGGATAGTCAAATCATCATTAATGTTGTCTGTACTGAATCTGTGGGTCACATCTGTGCTTTAAATTTAAAGATCAAAAGATAAATTCTATGTATTGGGTTGAGTTGTTGTTAGTCAAGTAAGTAATCATAACGTTGATCTGATGTTTTGTCCTCTTGCGTGTTTCCAGGGTTACAGCACGCCGTACCCTGGGGGGATCGTGAGGTCACCCAGTTCCGTGGGGTCAGAGGGTAGATGTGAGAAGATCATCAACGACGACAATGACTCGGTCAGTTCCCTCATCCCAGCCTATCTCAACTCCCTGAAGAAACTCATGATAGACTAGCACCTAGGGAAGGAGTCAGTTGGATGTACCAAACATTCCAGTGGGAGCAAAGAAACATGTACTGTCTTACAGAATTATGATCTTAATTTGAGTCAGTTTGCTACAGCAGGAAAATAATCCTGCAGCAACAGGAAATGTTAATTATTATGTGGATTATAATTAATGGCCATTTCTGTAGGGGTTGATACATTTTTCGATAGGGCAAATCAAGTCTGACATTTTTAAGTGGAAATTACAAACTTTAGAAGCCTTTTTAAAACTCAAATAAATTACAAGTTTGCATTTCCTGCTGTGCAGGAAAATTCTCAGCAACAAACGAGTGTTCAAATTAAGATCCTATGTCTGTATGTGTCCAAACCAATTTCCCTACAGACATTTCAAAGCAATTCAGACATATGATTTCATCCATCCTAGGTATTTGTTTGTGATTCAGTTCATAATACTGATGATAACCAGTACCACTCTAATTAAACTACATTATGTTTATATTCTCCAGCTCAAATGATATGTAAAAAAAGATACAAGATAAAATTGATGCTTGGTTATAAAGCATTGATAGACATAGTTTAAAGATGGAAGTCAAAAGAAAGTTTGTGTTTACATTTTACTCTCATTCTACGTGCTCATCCAAAGAGTTTGACCAAGTAAAGTTATGCATCAGTAATGTGCATGACATTTTGCAACTAGGGGCAATATCCTAACCTGAAATCTGCATTTGTATCTCAAGTCTTCCATTGGCATCTGAGGTTATACCCGCTTGCATGTCGGGTAAGAATTTCGTTAACACTTTATTTGGATAGTCCATCTGTAGATGCTCTACAGACTATCAGTAACATTTCAACAAATGATCTTCTAACTCTAACCCTAAACTTAACCCTTATCCTAACCTTTACTCTAACCCTAACCTTAACCCTTATTCTAAACCTAACCGTAACCTTAGCAAGCAGTTGCTTGTCAACAGATAGTTCATTGATAGCATGACCATCTGTAGAGCATCTACAGATGGACTATCCAAATAAAGTGTTACCAGTATTTCGGACGTAAGATTTTAGGAAGATGCTATATCAAAGTTTACCTTTATATAATGTGCAGAAATATATATCACTGCCAAAAAAATGTAACATTACTTGTCCAAAGCATTTTATTGTTGAATGTGATTTTAAGAAATAAAACCTTTTTTCATTCCTTAGATGTCTTCTTGTACCCTCAAAATCATTTGCCAGAAACACAAACACCTACAAAAATCATCTGGTTATATTGTAAAATAAAAACTGCAGAAAGGAACTGCCAGAGATAGTTGTAACATAAAATGTATATCTATATATTTATCATATCAATGCAAAAACATTAATGCCAAACATTCAGCAGTTATGTCCATATGCAGGATCCTTGAAACGTTCAAGGTTCTTGTTGCACCAAACAAATAGTAATGGAACAGTCTGTACAACATGTATGCATCTGCATGGAACAGTAGTAACATGTACATAATACTTACAGGAGAGAAACAGGATAATGATATACTACACTGCTCAAAAAAATAAAGGGAACACTTAAACAACACAATGTAACTCCAAGTCAATCACACTTCTGTGAAATCAAACTGTCCACTTAGGAAGCAACACTGATTGACAATACATGTCACATGCTGTTGTGCAAATGGAATAGACAACAGGTGGAAATTATAGGCAATTAGCAAGACACCCCCAATAAAGGACTGGTTTTGCAGGTGGTGACCACAGACCACTTCTCAGTTCCTATGCTTCCTGGCTGATGTTTTGGTCACTTTTGAATGCTGGCGGTGCTTTCACTCTAGTGGTAGCATGAGACGGAGTCTACAACCCACACAAGTGGCTCAGGTAGTGCAGCTCATCCAGGATGGCACATCAATGCGAGCTGTGGCAAGAAGGTTTGCTGTGTCTGTCAGCGTAGTGTCCAGAGCATGGAGGCGCTACCAGGAGACAGGCCAGTACATCAGGAGACGTGGAGGAGGCCGTAGGAGGGCAACAACCCAGCAGCAGGACTGCTATCTCCGCCTTTGTGCAAGGAGGAGCAGGAGGAGCACTGCCAGAGCCCTGCAAAATGACCTCCAGCAGGCCACAAATGTGCATGTGTCTGCTCAAACGGTCAGAAACAGACTCCATGAGGGTGGTATGACGTCCACAGGTGGGGGTTGTGCTTACAGCCCAACACCATGCAGGACGTTTGGCATTTGCCAGAGAACACCAAGATTGGCAAATTCGCCACTGGCGCCCTGTGCTCTTCACAGATGAAAGCAGGTTCACACTGAGCACATGTGACAGACGTGACAGAGTCTGGAGACGCCGTGGAGAATGTTCTGCTGCCTGCAACATCCTCCAGCATAACCGGTTTGGCGGTGGGTCAGTCATGGTGTGGGGTGGCATTTCTTTGGGGGGCCGCACAGCCCTCCATGTGCTCGCCAGAGGTAGCCTGACTGCCATTAGGTACCGAGATGAGATCCTCAGACCCCTTGTGAGACCATATGCTGGTGCGGTTGGCCCTGGGTTCCTCCTAATGCAAGACAATGCTAGACCTCATGTGGCTGGAGTGTGTCAGCAGTTCCTGCAAGAGGAAGGCATTGATGCTATGGACTGGCCCGCCCGTTCCCCAGACCTGAATCCAATTGAGCACATCTGGGACATCATGTCTCGCTCCATCCACCAACGCCACGTTGCACCACAGACTGTCCAGGAGTTGGCGGATGCTTTAGTCCAGGTCTGGGAGGAGATCCCTCAGGAGACCATCCGCCACCTCATCAGGAGCATGCCCAGGCGTTGTAGGGAGGTCATACAGGCACGTGGAGGCCACGCACACTACTGAGCCTAATTTTGACTTGTTTTAAGGACATTACATCAAAGTTGGATCAGCCTGTAGTGTGGTTTTCCACTTTAATTTTGAGGGTGACTCCAAATCCAGACCTCCATGGGTTGATAAATTTGATTTCCATTGATAATTTCTGTGTGATTTTGTTGTCAGCACATTAATAAGATTATTTCATTCATTCAGATCTAGGATGTGTTATTTTAATGTTCCCTTAATTTTTTTGAGCAGTGTATAATTTCAACTTCAGTTGAGGATTTGTATCCAGTTAGCATGTCTCTGAAACAACGTTGTTGTAATTTTCATTTAGTATAAAAATAAGCATTGTGTAATATCAGTTTAATATATTATCTGCACCATCACTCCTGTGTAATGTATATATATATATAATCTGTTTCGCTGCAGATTCCACTATTTCACATTATTTTACATCCTTCATTCTCTAGAGGTTTTACTTCTACACCCCATTATCTTACATATAGTATATTAATTTTGTATTTACAAAAGCTAAAGCACATTCCCTTGTAACAGGATCCCAGTTGTTCTGCCCCCTTATAGACTATATTTAAAATGTTGATGAATTTCAACAGTACGAAAAACATCACAAAACATTGTAGATTTGTTAAATTTGTGTCAATCTCTCTTCAAAACGACCCATTTGAAATAGGTTTACAGAATCAATATTCACCTTAAAAACCTTTTGTTCACCTTTATAGTTTCAATTTAGTGGCGCAGATCAAATATAATCTATAAATTGGAATGCATTTGTGTACAGTTTATTACATAGAAGCAGCAGTAGGTGTTAAATTTCATCATTAAACTCTGCGTCAGTATTTCAGTTGGCCAACAATTTACAGAGTTTGTTTGGGATTTTTTTGAGGAAGAGGATAAAGCACACACAGCCTCAGTCCCACAGGCTTGTACTGTAGCCCATAGATTATGTACAGGTCAAAATAGCCATGCCGTTTGTACATGTTGGTAATACATCCCCCTCACCTGAGTTTGGCCCATATACACACCTGTCTTCCCTATAGTAGTCCTCTAGGTCTAGGGCATAATGAACACTGTCTGTCTACCATACATATAGAATCCTCAAGGGCATCAAGAATACTGTCTGGTGGTACACTGCTGTCATTCACTTTCTGAATCTCTTTAGTCCAATGAGTTGACAGTGTGAATCATGCCATTAAAGAGCATACCCACTGGTAGAAGACGACTGTATCTCTCAACAGTTACTTTTCTAAATCTTTAATCTTAAAACCTCTCTCTCTCACTCTCTCTCTCTCTCTCACTCTCTCACACTCTCACTCATTCCCTCCCTCTCTCCCTCTCCCTCCCTCCCCCCCCAGGTTTCTGTGAATCTGTGGAGTGACTTATCCTCATTTCTCAGGATGTCCATAATATCTCAAAGTTCACTTTAGTGAGGGGACTGAAGGTCTTGAAGCGCCAGTAAAGATTTAGGCTTGTGGATCCACGTGTGTGACCCCTGGGAACCAGGTGTGTTATATCTCAATGTCCACAGGCCTGATGTCTCCTGTCTTATGCTCCTGGACCCAGAGCTCTCGGTCTTTAGCTGGGTCCACACTCTGTAACAGCTGATCCACCGGCTCCATCGTCTGCAGGGACAGGTGGAAAAACAGTCAATACCCTGTATGTTTGTGTGTGTGTGTGAAAAAAAACAAGGCATTTAGTGCCCTTTACTGGTACTACGAGGTAGTGCTTGACTTACACTCTGGTTAAACATGTCCGTCTCATGCCGCAAGGTGGTGTACTGACACAGATGCTGTCGTATCATCTCCACCCTCTCTACCTCCAGCCTCTCCAACTCCTGATGGACAGAACGGATTGAAGGGAACAGGGTTTTAGATTACATGATTCAGATTCATCCTTTCTGTAGTTAAAACCAAAGCCTCGATAGCCAGCCTCACTGTTTCTGAAGATGGCTGAAGTAGAAACAGACTAGCAGCCAGGCTACCAAAGCATTAAGTTACATACAGAGTCACTATAAATAAAAGGAGGAAATACAAAGGAGAATATGAACTACAGGAGAAGAGTCTTACCAGGCTTGTGGTCACCATCTCCTCAAACCATTTGGACTGGGACTGGTTGTAAAGGTCGACACAGCGCATCAGGTCATCTCCTGGTAGAGAAAAAAATTATGTTTAGACAAACTTATCTGTACTTTGGACACTGGCTAACACCTTTCTCATTTCTTGGTTTATGACATATGAAACGGTTGTTCAATAACCTCTCCAGCAGGGGGAGTCACAGTCCAAATATGAATTTACAGAAGAGAACGCCCCTCTTCCTTCTTCTCCTTGAACGTTAGCGCCAACAAAAAAAACAATAACTAAGGCTCACATTGCAAAACAACCTGCTATAAATTAATCTATATCTGATTTCAGTGTTATATAGTATTTTATTTGTAGTATTTTATTAGGGTCCCCATTAGCCCCTGACGCAGCAGCTACTCTTCCTAACATATAGATAATCAGATAATCTAATATGAATAATCTAATACACAGTGCAGTCTGATACATTCTAATTACAGTGTAATACATACTGACAAGAACATGTATGTAGCCTAACATATCCTACTCATAAAATAAAATCAGATAGAAATTACACTGATATGTGACTAACCCAAGACAGTGATTTTCAATCCCTTCCCTTCTCTCCCTGACAATCCCAACTTCTCTGTTTCATCATTTATTGCCTGAATGTAGACACTGAGATTATCCTAAAATGCATGTTTAAACCTATTATCCTACACAGTGTTTAATTCCCTTAAGACTTAGTAATAGTATATATTTGTAGAGATACAGTACATTGTGTTTAATGAATTGCCTTTAGTCAGGGTAGAGAACAGATTTATGGGAGACTGGGACTGAGAATGTAGCCTTGCTAAAGGCGAAGCAGATGCATTGTGTTGTGTGTTGGCGCGCTCTCTGTCCTCTCTGCCTCCTTCACACGACTGTCATAGCTGGCACACACACTGTCATCATCATCACAAACAACTGCTGCTGTTTTTCACACAGATTACGTAAGCAAAGAGGAGGTGTGAGTGTGTGGCGTGTGGTGTGTGGTGTGTGAGTGCGTGCGTGCGTGGGTGAGTGGGTGTGCGAGTGTGTGCAAGTCTGCGAGTGTGTGTGTTTATCCACCCCTCACTGTGAGTATCTGGCGATCCATGACGTGAGTGAATGGTCCAGAGATGATGTCACACTGGAGGAGGTCGTCATCTGTTTACTCTCAACAGTTACTTTTCTAAATCTCTAACCTTAAAACTACATTTTGTCTACACTACACACATCCTCTCTCTCCCTCTCTCTCCTTCCCTCTCCCTCTTCCTCTCCTTCCCCCTCTCCCTCCCTCTCCTTCCCTCTTCCTCTCCTTCCCCCTCTCTCTCCCTCTCCTTCCCCCTCTCCTTCCCTCTACCTCCCTCCCTCCCTCCCTCCCTTTCTGTTCTCCATGTCGTTCCACAGACCCCCAGCTTCAGTGAAACTGCTGATAAACCAGTGACTCATACACAGTTAAATGTCTACTGTATAGATAGCACTGCAAAGCATGTGGTTTAATCTATCTCCATCTGATAGTCAAACAAGGAGGCACTTAAACGCACCTGAGGAATGAGATTAAGCCTCAAGACACCTTTCTGTTCCATTGCACATTTGCCAGCTTCAAGAGCTTTCTTATAGGAACTTTCCTTTTCTTCTTGTTAATTGCTATTTATGCTATTCTGCATGTGTACTCGGTCTCCACGGCAACATGCCATTGGACATAACACTGGCAGCACATTCATGATGACTGTTTGTATAAAGTTTAGAGTGTCTGTTTATCAAGTCATAAACAACTTTTTGTTTAAAGTTAGGTGTTAGCTAGCTACACCCTAGTCTCACTTGGTCAGATTTGTACTATAATAACCTGTCATCTGTACAGATAAAATACTCAGACACCCAGATGGGGACGGAATTAGTGACACCCCCATCAGTTATAACAAACATGTGAGCCTTTGACCCCACTGGCAAACCCCACAGTGACTGATGACCTTTGGATTGACCTTTGACCTGGACTCTGACCTGCTTGTGTGGATTTCCGCCGGGCCTTCTTGATGTCCTCCTCGATCTTGTTGCTTAGTTTGATCTCCAGCTGCTGGGTCTTCACCTCCAGGTCCTTCTGTCTGTCTGCTAGAGCCTTACGGGCCTAGAGAGATATATTTACATGTTATAAAAGCTGTTATAAGCTGTTATGAATGCATATAGCTGCTGGGTCTTCACCTCCAGGTCCTTCTGTCTGTCCGCTAGAGCCTTACAAGCCTAGAGATGTATTCAGATGTTATAAAGGCTGTCATAACATTGATATAAGCTGTTATGAACGCTTATAACAAAGTGAATGGGGACATACCGCAGGGTATTGCAGTAGGCCAAGGGTAGGCAACCCTGGTTCTGGAGTACCGCAGGCACTTCATGTTTTTGATTTAACCGACCTGGAAGACCAGGTGTGTTGAAATTAGCTCAGTTGGTCAATTAGCTCAGTTGGTCAGGTGTGGTGCCTTGTTGGAACAAAATCCTGCAGTACCTGCAGCACTCCAGGAACAGGGTTGCCTACCCTGCAGTAGGCTATTACTTTCTATTAGCCACTTGTGTGAAATGCATTATGAATGTCTAGATGACTGATGTGGAGGAGTTGACAGGTCTATGGTAGCTGAAGGGATCGGTCCAATCATTATTTATAGAAGCACAAAGAGGTAGTGTTTGTGTGTGCGTGTGTGTTTGTGTGTGTTGACAGGAAACGGTCCTCTACAGTCGTGGTCAAACGTTTTGAGAATGACACAAATACTAATTTTCACAAAGTCTGCTGCCTCAGTTTTGATGATGGCAATTTGCATATACTCCAGAATGTCATGAAGAGTGATCGATCAGATGAATTGCAATTAATTGCAAAGTCCCTATTTTCCATAAAAATGAACTTAATCCCAAAAAAACATTTCCACTGCATTTCAGCCCTGCCACAAAAGGACCAGCTGCCATCATGTCAGTGATTCTCTCGTTAACACAGGTGAGAGTGTTGACGAGGACAAGGCTGAAGATCACTCTGTCATGCTGATTGAGTTAGAAAACTGTGGTCCTCTGTAGCTCAGCTGGTAGAGCACGGCGCTTGTAACGCCAAGGTAGTGGGTTCGATCCCCGGGACCACCCATACGTAAAAATGTATGCACGCATGACTGTAAGTCGCTTTGGATAAAAGCGTCTGCTAAATGGCATATTATATTATAATAACAGACTGGAAGCTTTAAAAGGAGGGTGGTGCTTGAAATCATTGTTAATCCTCTGTTAACCATGGTTACCTGCGAGGAAACACGTGCCGTCATCATTGCTTTGCACAAAAAGGGCTTCAGAGGCAAGGCTATTGCTGCTAGTAAGATTGCACCTAAATCAACCATTTATCGGATCATCAAGAACTTCAAGGAGAGAGGTTCAATTGTTGTGAAGAAGGCGTCAGGGCGCCCAAGAAAGTCCAGCAAGCACCCGGACCGTCTCCTAAAGTTGATTCAGCTGCGGGATCGGGGCACCACCAGTGTAGAGCTTGTATGTCAAGAAAGGCAGCAAAGAAGCCACTTCTCTCTAGGAAAAACATCAGGGACAGACTGATATTCTGCAAAAAGGTACAGGGATTGGACAGCTGAGGACTGGGGTAAAGTCATTTTCTCTGATGAATCCCCTTTCCAATTGTTTGGGGCATCCGGAAAACACCTTGTCCAGAGAAGACAAGGTGAGCGCTACCATCAGTCCTTTGTCATGCCAACAGTAAAGCATCTGGAGACCATTCATGTGTGGGGTTGCTTCTCAGCCAAGGCAGTGGACTCACTTACAACTTTGCCTAAGAACACAGTCATGAATAAAGAATGGTACCAACACATCCTCCGAGAGCAACTTCTCCCAACCATCCAAGAACAGTTTGGTGACGACCAATGCCTTTTCCAGCATGATGGAGCACCTTGCCTTAAGGCAAAAGTGATAACTAAGTGGATCGGGGAACAAATCAATGACATTTTGGGTCCATGGCCAGGAAACTCCCCAGACCTTAATCCCATTGAGAACTTGTGGTCGATCCTCAAAAGGCGGGTGGACAAACAAAAACCCTCAAATTCTGACAAACTCCAAGCATTGATTATGCAAGAATGGGCTGCTATCAGTCAGGATGTGGCCCAGAAGTTAATTGACAGCATGCCAGGGTGGATTGCAGAGGTTTTGAAAAAGAAGGGTCAACACTGCAAATATTGACTCTTTGCATAAACTTAATGTAATTGTCAATAAAAGCCGTTGACACTTATGGAATGCTTGTAATTATACTTCAGTATACCATACTAACATCTGACAAAAATATCTAAAAACACTGAAGCAGCAAACTTTGTGAAGACCAATACTTGTGTCATTCTCAAAACTTTTGACCACGACTGTATATACACCTGTTCTGAAAGGCCCCAGAGTCATTTGATGTTCGGCAAAAGCCATGTGGGAGACTCCCCAAACATATGGAAGAAGGTACTCTGGTCAGATGAGACTAAAATTGAGCTTTTTGGCCATCAAGGAAACCCAACACCTCTCATCACCCCAAGAACACCATCCCCACAGTGAAGCATGGTGGTGGCAGCATCAAGCTGTGAGGATGTTTTTCATCGGCAGAGACTGGGAAACTGGTCAGAATTGAAGGAATGATGGCTTGCGCTAAATACAGGGAAATCCTTGATGGAAACCTGTTTCAGTCTTCCAGAGATTTGAGACTGGGACGGAGGTTCACCTTCCAGCAGAACAATAACCCTAAGCATACTGCTAAAGCAACACTTGAGTGGTTTAAGGGGGAACATTTAAATGTCTTGGAATGGCCTAGTCAAAGCCCAGACCTCAATCCAATTGAGAATCTGTGGTACGACTTAAAGATTGCTGTACACCAGTGGAACCCATCCAACTTGAAGGAGCTGGAGCAGTTTTGCCTTGAAGAATGGGCAAAAATCCCAGTGGCTAGATGTGCCAAGCTTATAGAGACATACCTCAAGAGACTTGCAGCTGCAAAAGGTGGCTCTACAAAGTATTGACTTTGGGGGGGTGAATAGTTATGCATGCTCAAGTTTTTCGTTTTTTGTCTTATTTCTTGTTTGTTTCACAATTTTTTTTTATTTTGCATCTTCAAAGTGGTAGGCATGTTGTGTAAATCAAATGATACAAACCCCCCAAAAATGTTAATCACGTGAGAAGATTCCTGAAATTCTACAGCTGCAAAGTGCAAGGACGGTTATTATTGCGTCAACTTTTGTATCACTAATGTAAGTCGCTCTGGATAAGACCGTCTGCTAAATGACTAAAATGTAAACAATGTAAATGTATCTTTTTGTGTGTGTATTTGTGTGTGTGTGTGTGTGTGTGTGCCTGCATGTGTATGTGTTTGTTGCGTCTCGTTGCGTCAGGATGTGTACCTTCTCCACGGCTGTGTGTCGTCCGACCAGATGTTTTCGTAGTTCTGCGATGTGATGGTCGAACCGCTTCATGTCCTTCTTAAAGTTATCTCTGAACGTCAACAGAGGCTTCTCCACCTCACTCTGGAGCTGAAAGAGTTCAATAACAACAGTTTAAATGCAGACCTCATTGGAGACAACTGTTTGGAAGGCCTATAACATTACCTGGGTTTTTTCCTGTTTAAGTCATGTGGTTAGCAAAAACAGCTGGCCATGGCCTTTCCTATAATAATGATGTATTGAGTTGACAGCTGTGTTGTTTTTGTCTTGTTTTTTATGCCTGTACCTCATATCCATAGTGGCTAAGGGACAGCTATTTACAAAAGCCCTTTTTACCCTTTTTACCCATAAAACTTGTTTATCTGACAGAGCTGTCAACGATTTATAGTCACAAATGTGTCTCCTCTCTAAAATATAAAAGTAGGTCAATGTAGAGTTTGATTTGTGAGCTGCTTTGATTCTACTGAAGAGTATCTGCTTAGGACCAGGATATTATTTACTGTTGGGAGACAGATAGACTCCTACCCATAAACAGTTTATAGAAATGATATGGGCAAATCATTAAATGCACAATGCAAGAGGAAACATGATTAAATTACTCCAGAAACCTAGTTGAAATGGATTGAATAGGACACCGATTTAAGGGTAATAAATAGCTATTGAAGAGATAGAGGTGCATGTAGAATGTATTCAAATGTATTCATTTTCTCTCCCCCCTTTCCTAGATAATACTCTCTGCTCAGTCTCTCACTCCCAATACTCATTCTCCCCCCTAAACCTCAAGCTGTACTGAAAAAGAATCGTTGTCTGTTGTCTCCAGGGGAAAAAAAGGACGGAAAGAGGGAGAGGAAGAGAGGAGGAAAAAAAAGGAGAGGAGAGAGAGAGAGGAGAAGAGGGAAGAGAGAGAGAGAGAGGAAGAGAGGGGAAGAAGGAGGGAGGGGAAAAGAGAGGGAGAGAGAATAAAGAAAGGAGAGGAGGGGAGAGAAGAGGAAGAGCAGAAAAAAGGGAGGGGAAAAAAGAAGAGAGATTAATAGGGGGGCCCCACTCCCCCTTTTCCCTTCCGCGCTTGGGAAAATCCCGGTTTTGCTCTCCTCCCTTTTTTCCCCTTTCTCCTTCTCCTCTCTATCTCTCTACTCTCTCTCTCTCTCTCTCTATTCTCTCTCTCTCTCTCTTCTCTCTCTCTCTCTCGACAAACCCAATCATACATGTATAATTCGCAGCATAGGGCCCCCAGAGAGTAAATAGGCCTCAATTAAGTCTTACAAAACCATGGTACACAATATTAAATACACTGTACAGTGAATTGAGGTCATGTCAAGACACTCAGTGAAAGACTAACATTTTAAAATGTTCTCCTATACCTTAAATCAGGATCAACACAATAGATTTAATGGAATATAATTATTTGAGTAAAGTATACAGTCAAGTGTGTTACCTTAGAGGAGAACTTGAGGTGAACCTCAGCCTCTTCAGCCAAACTCTTCTTCAACTGAGCCCAGGCTTCCCCTAGAGTACTGAGGAGAGAGATAACGTTTTAGACCACAGAGAAACCACACTATCACTATATGACACCACAGAGTACTAGGAGACAGATAGAGAGAAGGGGGGGGGGGGGGGGGGGGTATAGTAGAAAGAAGGGTAGGAGTGAGAGGACCACATCCTGTAGGAGTTAAGTACCACTCACATCAAGAGCTAAGACCACACAGGCTTTACACAGAGAGAGAGAGGAGAGAGAGAGAGAGAGAGAGAGAGAGAGAGAGAGAGAGAGAGAGAGGAGAAGAGAGAGAGAGGAGAGGGAGAGGAGGAGAGAGAGAGAGAGAGAGAGGAAAGGAAGGAGTAAGAGAGATAATGAAAGCGGGAGAGGGAATGAAAAGATGAGAAGTGTCAGGGTGGATCCTGCCAAACAGAGAGAGAGAGATGAGGTTCAACTGAAGGTCCAGTGTAAAAGTTCATAGGCAGTATATAACCCAGCAGGCAGTCCATCTCACAGCTGTGCCTGGTCCTCGGCAAGTTTACTGTCTGGTTAGGATGTATAGACTGAGGATATGAGATAAAGCTAAACCCTTCCTTACATTCTGCAAGTGAACTGTTTAATCTCTGTACCATAGTGCAGTGTGGGAAAATGTATAATATATCTTTAATTAATGTTCACAAATTAATGCTTTGTCAATTTATATCTAATCAATCATACCTACAGAAAATAATGACAAAGGTGAGTGAACACCAACATTAACACTGATCATAGCAGAGGGAACCATATGTTGTTAAAAAGTCTTCATATCCTAGCAGAAATTTGCGGAAAATTCAAAGCCATGGTACATCAGTGAGTGAGACGCCAGGCTAGCCTTGAGTACTATGCAACCTCTTGTCCTCTGAACATAAATCTTGAGTCCTTCATTCCAAATATTAGCAGAATATTTATCCAAGGGCCATAAAGTGAGCCAGCAGCAGACTCATACAGCCACGAGGCACTGCAGGCTCTGGGTCTGTAGCTGGGGAGGAGAGGGGCTGAGGGTCTTTAGCCTCTTTACCACTAACCAGGTCACATCAAAGCACCGCTCTGAATGGAAGACGTGTGGAATTCTCTCTGACTGACACCCATGCAGGCTACATTCCTACAACATCGGGGTGCTGCTCTCTGCCTGCTCTCAGCTCTGCCATCTCCACTTTAATATACTAAATTCAGCTACCTTCAGAGCCATCGGAGAAGAGATACAGTGAGGGAAAAAAGTATTTGATCACCTGATGATTTTGTACGTTTGCCCACTGACAAAGAAATGATCCGTCTATAATTTTAATGGTAGGTTTATTTGAACAGTGAGAGACAGAATAAAAAATCCAGAAAAACGCATGTCAAAAATGTTATAAATTGATTTGCATTTTAATTAGGGAAATAAGTATTTGACCCCCTCTCAATCAACAGGTAACGAGCTGAGATTAGGAGCACACTCTTAAAGGGAGTGCTCCTAATCTCAGCTTGTTACCTGTATAAAAGGCACCTGTCCACAGAAGCAAGCCATCAATCAGATTCCAAACTCTCCACCATGGCCAAGACCAAAGAGCTCTCCAAGGATGTCAGGGACAAGATTGTAGACCTACACAAGGCTGGAATGGGCTACAAGACCATCGTCAAGCAGCTTGGTGAGAAGGTGACAACAGTAGGTGCGATTATTTGCAAATGGAAGAAACACCAAAGAATTGTCAATCTCCCTCGGCCTGGGGCTCCATGCAAGATCTCACCTCGTGGAGTTGCAATGATCATGAAAACGGTGAGGAATCAGCCCAGAACTACACGGGAGGATCTTGTCAATGATCTCAAGGCAGCTGGGACCATAGTCACCAAGAAAACAATTGGTAACACACTACACCATGAAGGTGTTCAAGAAAGCACATATACATGCCCGTCTGAAGTTTGCCAATGAACATCTGAATGATTCAGAGGAGAACTGGGTGAAAGTGTTGTGGTTAGATGAGACCAAAATGGAGCTCTTTGGCATCAACTCAACTCGCCGTGTTTGGAGGAGGAGGAATGCTGCCTATGACCCCAAGAACACCATCCCCACCGTCAAACATGGAGGTGGAAACATTATGCTTTGGGGGGTGTTTTTCTGCTAAGGGGACAGGACAACTTCACCGCATCAAAGGGACGATGGACGGGGCCTTGTACCGTCAAATCTTGGGTGAGAACCTCCTTCCCTCAGCCTGGGCATTGAAAATGGGTCGTGGATGGGTATTCCAGCATGACAATGACCCAAAACACACGGCCAAGGCAACAAAGGAGTGGCTCAAGAAGAAGCACATTAAGGTCCTGGAGTGGCCTAGCCAGTCTCCAGACCTTAATCCCATAGAAAATCTGTGGAGGGAGCTGAAGTTTCGAGATGCCAAACGTCAGCCTCGAAACCTTAATGACTTGGAGAAGATCTGCAAAGAGGAGTGGGACAAAATCCCTCCTGAGATGTGTGCAAACCTGGTGGCCAACTACAAGAAACGTCTGACCTCTGTGATTGGCAACAAGGGTTTTTCCACCAAGTACTAAGTCATGTTTTGCAGAGGGGTCAAATACTTATTTCCCTCATTAAAATGCAAATCAATTTATAACATTTTTGACATGCGCTTTTCTGGATTTTTTTGTTGTTATTCTGTCTCTCACTGTTCAAATAAACCTACCATTAAAATTATAGACTGATCATTTCTTTGTCAATGGGCAAACGTACAAAATCAGCAGGGGATCAAATACTTTTTTCCCTCACTGTAGAAGATAGATAAAAAAGAGACAAGATGGATAAGAACAGATACACACAAACAAATAGCTAAAAAGGTATTTTTACTTTATGTATGCAACTTTTATCTGATCAAGAAGTCCCACTGAGATTAATAATTTATTTTGCAAGAGAGACCTGTCCAAGATGGTTTCTCTACTGGTAGGTTATAGTGTTGTAGGCTACTAAAAGTACCCAATGGCACCGATCCAAAACGTATTCACAGTTGGTTCCTCATACTCATATCCTCAAGACAGCTGCTAAAAGCATTCATACCCCAGAGAGCATTTGCCAACTACAGTTTTGTGAAACAAATCGACCAGTGTCCACTCCTTTCCAGCCCACTGTAAATACAGCACATGATTGGTAGCGAATCTAGCGATAAAAACTAGTCACATGCTCTGGGGGCTGCATTACGGCCAGACAAATGGTAAATTCAGGAATAAACAGGCAGTATTTCTGGGCTCGGATGCAGGCATGGCAGGAGCCTAACAACAAAACAGTGATTGTTCAGGCAGCCAGGCTGACAACAGAGCAGGGTAGAGAGAGAGGAGATAATAACAGTATTGTGTTGCTCTCTCTGGATGTGGTGGGTGTGAGTGGATGGAACTCACTGGCATCGTCTAGATTCTAGAATCTATATGAAACAATTCCACCCAACCCTGCTATTCTATCACAATAACACTGGTGCAGTACAGTAGTGGAGAGAGGTCAACTCATACAGAGTTGTATAAAACGCAGAGAAGGGGTTTTAGTAGTCCAGCATCATATGTCTAATGCAGGAAAGAGCCGTACCATCTTTGTTTCAGTGTTGACTGTAGGGCAGTATCATAAACATCAATATATCAAGCATCTCATAAGCTGGTGCAGCAGAAGCATGAGAAACCTCCATTCTCACCCCCTCCTAGAGCCTTAAAGACCAATATCTGGTACAGGTATATGGTAGAGGTCAGTCTCATAACACAGTGTGTGTTTAGAGTGCATGTAATGTAGTTAAGTCTGGTACAGTGGCCAGACTCATTATGTCTGTGTAGTAAATGTGCTATGCAGCCGTTCTTTTACAGCCTTCCCTCCCTTTCAGCCTAGCCCAGGACCCTCACCATACAGCCTGCCATTCCCCCCAGGAACCCATTTACCAGGGGAGTACCAGACAAAGAGCTGCTCACAGCGTGAGTTTTCCCTGTGGTGCCAGACTGAAGAGGGTTCCCCCTTTTCACTCTCTTTCTTTCTCTTCCTCTCTCTCCTTCACTGTGTGCGGTCCCCCCATCTCTGTCTCTTTATCAATCCCCCATCTATCTATCCCTCCCTCCCTCCTCTCATATGTAATGGTTTAAAGGCACAGTCTGACGGGGTCTGGAGGGTCTGGATCAAAGGAAGTTGTAGGGATTTACAGGACGACCACACTTCCTGTTTCACAGCTTCTACTGACTGGCTGGGCCTCCATGCAGTCTCACCAGTTTCAGGCTCACCAGTGAGTCTGGGCTGATATGGTCCCATACCACCCTAATGGGAGAGGAACCATGGTACCCTGCTGTCCAGTCCAACAATAAACATAGTGTTCCTGCTCTTAGCTATATGATTGTTTTATCAGAAAGTCTCCACCATCTTAGTCTAAACTGTACAACCATCAAATCCTTTCATATCTACAAGAGTTGGCTAGGAATTGTCTAGTAGTTAGCTAGGAGTTGGCAAATAATTTGCATAATCTCTGAAATGTTTTTGGACATGGAATCTTTAAAATTGTTGACGCAGAGAGATTTTCTTGTATTGTGCCATATCTTCCGAGCAGAGTGTGTGAGTGAGGCGACAGACCACAACTATTCCAGCTGTGACACATACACTGAGTATACCAAACATTATGAACACCTTCCTAATATTCAGTGGTGTAAAGTGCTTAAGTAAAAATACTTTAACGTACTACTTAAGTAGTTATTTGGGGTATCTGTACTTTACTGTACTATTTGTATTTTTGACAAGTTTTACTTTACTACATTCCTAAAGAAAATAATGTACTTTTTACTCCATACATTTTCCCTGACACCCAAAAGTACTCGTTATATTTTGTATGCTTAGCAGGACAGAAAATGGTCCAATTCACATACTTATCAAGAGAACATCTCTGGTCGGCAGGTAACTTAGTGGTTAAGAGCGTTGTGCCAGTAACCGAAAGGTCACTGGTTCTAATCCCCGAGCCGACTAGGTGTAAATCTGTCGATGTGCCCTTGAGCAAGGCACTTAACCCTAATTGCTCCTGTAAGTCGCTCTGGATAAGAGCGTCTGCTAAATGACTAAAATGTAAATGTAATGTATGTCATCCCTACTGCCTATGATCTGGCGGACTCACTAAACACAAATGCTTCGTTTGTAAATTATGTCTGAGTGTTGGCTATCCGTACATTTTCAAAACAAGAAAATCTGGTTTGCTTAATATAAGGAATTTTAAGTTATTCATACTTTTACTTTTGATACTTAAGTATATTTTAACAATTACATTTACTTTTGATACTTAATTATATTTAAAACCAAATACTTTTAGACTTTTACTCAAGTAGTATTTTACTGGGTGACTTTCACTTTTACATTAGTCATTTTCTATTAAGGTATCTTTACTTTTACTCAAGTATGACAATTGGGTACTTTTTCCACCACTGCTAATATTGAGTTGCAACCCCCCTTTTGCACTCAGAACAGCCTCAATTCGTCAGGGCATGGACTCTACAAGGTGTCAAAAGCGTTCCATAGGGATGCTGGCCCATGTTGACTCCAATGCTTCCCACAGTTGTGTCAAGTTGGCTGGATGTCCTTTAGGAGGTGGAGCATTCTTGATACACACGGGAAACTGTTGAGTGTGAAAAACCCAGCGGCGGTGCAGTTCTTGACACAAACCGGTGCATCTGGCACCTACTACCATACCCCGGTCAAAGGCACTTAAATCTTTTGTCTTACCCATTCACCCTCTGAATTGCACACATATACAATCCATGTCTCAATTGTCTCAAGGCTTAAAAATACTTCATTAACTTGTCTCCTCCCCTTCTTCTACAGCTTTCAACCTGGATTCACCTGGTCAGCCTATGTCATTGAAAGAGCAGGTGTTCTTAATGTTTTGTATACTCAGTGTACATGTAGGTTCCTCTTTATCAAGGAACCACCACAGGAAGTGATGCAACTGCTTACTCACCCTTCTTCCTGTTCCGCAAGGGGAATCTGTGACAGCTTGGAGAGGCTCTTGGCATATTCCTCCTCTATCTTTATTCTGAAAGAGGGATGGTGAAAAGTTGCTTGTTACCACATAATTGCAACACTTCCTGTTTTGCGCAAAAGGGAAAAGTGCACGTCTGTGCAAAAAAAAGGAAATGTATTTCAAGAAATCATATCTTCCACTGCATGGTTTTCCAACACATTGTGTCAAACATGAAAATGCTGAGTTGTGAAACATTGGTCTGACCAGGATTGTTGACAAATCAGCTGAGATAATGAAATGGGATTTTGTAGTTACCTTTCTCGTATAAACTCGGCCATCTCTTTCTGCATCTGTTTCCCCTTCAGCTGTTTCTGCAGCAAGACCTCAAACCCTGAGATAGAGCTTGTCCCCTGAGAGTCCTTCTTATCCTCCTACACAACAACAACAACATAAATACACACTACTGTACAACAACATCTAGTGTAACATACTGTAAATCAACAAACAATCCACAAATAATATGACCATTATTGTAAAATAAATTCACTGATGGGTTGTATTGTATTGTGTTGTGTGTTGTATTGTACAGTACAGTATAGTATAGTATTGTATTGTACTGTATTGCATAGTATGCATTCATTCATACAGTTATTAATTGTATTATATTGCTGGGAAAATACCAGGCCATATTTACTGCAGATCCATTCTACAGCACCACAGCCAATGTTATAGAAAGTCTACATTTCACACACCGCAGGGAGTACTAAATACTTGGCAACCTGTTTAAATCTGATCCTCTGTGTCTCAGTGAAAACTGTCACTCTCAGTGTATGGTATCCACTCTTTCTTTACGAGCGTCTTCCGGTGTTGTCACCTCAAAGTGTAATGTTAGCCCAGTCTGACAGTTAGCGTTAAAACCTGAGAACACACCTGGTGGTGATTACGTTTCAGCCGTGGGAGAAATGAAAACAGAGCCAAACAGATGCATTGAGCATGGTCTCTCTCACTACGTCATGTTTTATTCTACTACATCTCTGTAGCCTTACGCTGCCGAAGCTGTAAAGTGTCCTGTTTCTAAGTGTGCATCGCACGGCAGTCTATATGGAAGAGCTGTGGACTGCAGTCTAAGGCAAGGCAGCACAACTCCAGTCCTTGAAGGCTGCAGTGTCTGAATGTTTTTTAAATTTTTTATTATTCTTGCCCGGACAGTTAGGGTAGTAATGTATTGATTATTCATACCAAGGGGACATGAAAACCAGCAGAACTGTGGTCCTCAAGGACTATGTAGTGTAGTATAGTGTAGTGCTGTGTATTGTTGAGTAGTGTAATGTAGTGTTGTGTATCGCAGTGTAGTGTTGTGTAGTGTTGTGTACCGCAGTGTAGTGTAGTGTAGTGTTGTGTAGTGTTGCGTAGTGTTGTGTACCGCAGTGTAGTGTAGTGTAGTGTAGTGTAGTGTAGTGCAGGGTTGTGTAGTGTAGTGTAATGTAGTGTTGTGTTGTGTATTGCAGTGTAGTTTTGTGTAGAGTAGTGCAGTGCAGTGAAGTGTTGTGTAGTGTTGTATAGTGTAGAGTAGTGTTGTGTAGTGTGGGGATCGCAGTGTAGTGTTGTGTAGTGTTGTGTATCGCAGTGTAGTGTTGTGTCGTGTCGTGTTGTGTTGTGTAGTGTTGTGTAGTGTAATATAGTGTTGTGTATCGCAGTGTAGTGTTGTGTATTGCAGTGCAGTGTTGTGTAGTGTAGTGTAATATAGTGTTGTGTACCGCAGTGTAATGTAGTGTAGTGTTGTGTACCGCAGTGTAGTGTTGTGTAGTGTTGTGTAGTGCAGTGTTGTGTAGTCTAGTGTAATGTAGTGCTGTGTATTGCAGTGTAGTGTTGTGTAGCGTAGTGTAATGTATCGCAGTGTAGTGTTGTGTAGTGTTGTGTCTCGCAGTGTAGTGTTGTGTAGTGTTGTGTAGTGCAGTGCAGTGTTGTGTAGTGTAGTGCAGTGTTGAATAGTGTAGAGTAGAGTAGTGTTGTGTAGTGTTGTGTAGCGCAGTGTAGTGTAGTGTAGTGCAGTGTTGTGTTGTGTTGTGTAGTGCAGTGTAGTGTTTTGTAGTGTTGTGTAGTGCAGTGTAGTGTAGTGTAGTGCAGTGTTGTGTTGTGTTGTGTATCGCAGTGTAGTGTTTTGTAGTGTTGTGTAGTGCAGTGTTGTGTAGTGTAGTGTTGTGTAGTGTACTGTAGAGTAGTGTTGTGTAGTGCAGTGTTGTGTAGTGTAGTGTAATGTAGTGTTGTGTATCGCAGTGTAGTGTTGTGTATCGCTGTGTAGTGTTGTGTTGTGTAGTGTTGTGTAGTGCAGTGTTGTGTAGTGTAGTGTTGTGTAGTGTACTGTAGAGTAGTGTAGTGTACTGTAGAGTAGTGTAGTGTTGTGTAGTGCAGTGTTGTGTAGTGCAATGTAGTGTTGTGTAGTGCTGTGTAGTGTTGTGTATCGCAGTGTAGTGTTGTGTAGTGTAGTGTTGTGTTGTGCAGTGCAGTGTAGTGTTGTGTAGTGTTGTGCAGTGTTGTATAGTGTAGAGTAGTGTTGTGTAGTGTAGTGCAGTGTTGTGTAGTGTAGAGAGTAGTGTGGTGTTGTGTAGTGTAGTGTAGTGTAGAGTACACTCTTAGAAAAAAGGGGTCCAAAAGGGTTCTTCGGCTATCCCCATAGGAGAACACTATTTGGTTCCAGGTAGAACTCTTTTGGGTTCCATGTCAACTCTCTGTGGAAAGGGTTTTACATAAAACCCAAAAGGGTTCTACCTGGAACCAAAAATAGTTATTCAAAGGGTTCTCCTATGGGGACAGCCGAAGAACCGTTTTAGGTTCTACATAGCAACTTTTTTTCTAAGAGTGTAGTGTTGTGTAGTGTAGATTAGTTTAGAGTAGAGTAGTGTAGAGTAGTGTAGTGTAGTGTAGTATAGAGTAGTTTAATATGACTCTGTGGTGCGGCCAGTCTTTGTCTCTTACCCAGAAGTAATCACAGTAGCTCCACTCATCTGGCTTCAGCAGCTGCTGCTCAGGCATACTCATAGGAAGGGGGAACGTTACACAGTTAATCTGGAAGAGAGATCGAGAGAGAGAGAGAGCGAGACAGGAAGAGAGAGGAAGAGAAAGGGGGGAGTATGGAGAAAGAGAGACATAAGGAGAGAGAGAGAGGGAGAAAAAGAGAGAGAGAGAGAGAGGGAGAGAGGAGGAGATTCATTTTTCCATTGTGCATCGTATTTTATTTTAATAAATTAGAGTTGGTATGCAAGGGTCTGAGGAGTCTAAGCCATGAAGGGCTACATTGAGATTAGCAATAAGAAGTGCAAGATGTGGAGCTGCACACTGTGCAGACAGTAACTGTCCAACTCTGCTGATGCTACTATTCAAGGTGCTCTGCCACTGTTGCTCTGGCAACACTTCATCTCCTCAGTTCCGAGAATAAAAGACTAAGTAACATATTGACTTCATATCGCTCCTTGAATTGGTCAACTCTTTTTTATTTGCAGACACGCAAACTGTCAACCTTTCCCTATCACCAGCATTTATCATTGAACAGTCCTGACAGTCTGTTGTAATTCTCTCTCTCCTCTAGATGTTAAATCCGTTGGCTGAGCGACTATCTCCCTGCTCGTCTCGTCTCTATCTGTTCTCTTGCTGCTGTACAGGGCCTGAGGGTTGTGTATTGTCATCTCTCTCTCCTCTCTCTCAGGCACACAGGCACGCACAAATGCACACGCACACACGGTGAGGCAGGCAGTGGTAACAGCAGGTCTCCTGTGTGGCTGTCAGTTCCAACTGTTAGCACCCGGAGTGGGGCTGAGAAAGGCTGGTGCTCCAGGGCTGACAATAGGACTGTTATCTCCCCTCACATTTACTCTCATTACCTCCAGCAGCAAAACAACTCCGCCTCGGGGGGCTGGAGGTGTGTGTGCGCACATGCGTGTGTGGATCCACTACTGAGCATGCCCCCTTTGCAAGTGGAAAGGGTTTGATGATGAAGATAAAGTTGATAGTCCTCTATTCACTATTCCTGACTTCAGATGAGAGTTCACACAAGGCAGCTAAAACACCCACATCTGGCTTCCATCACTTTCTAATGATCCTTTAAGTGACCTCTATCAACGACTCCCTTAACCCCTGACATGGGTTATTAGCTGAGGACTCTAAATAGACTGGATCTCTCTCCGGTAGGAGAGGAGAGAGTGAAGAGAGAGATGAGGAGAGGGGAGGAGAGAGAAGAGAGAGAGAGAGAGGGAGAGAGAGAGAGCTGTAGAGCGATGGAGAGAGAGAGAGAGAGAGAGAGAAGAGGAGCGTAGAGAAGAAGAGGAGAGAGCGAGAGGAAGAGAGAGAGAGAGGAGCGAGCCGAGCGAGAGAGGAGAGGAGCGCTCTCTCGCTCTCATCCTCTCACTCTCTCCACTCTCTCACTCTCTCTCACTCTCTCACTCTCACTCTCTCTCACTCTCTCACTCTCACTCTCACAAACATCTGCCAATCAATAGCCTTGCCCTGGTTGCTGTAGGAACAGGGAGCGCAGCGTCGTTCCCTCCCCTGCAACCCCTGTGCACTCCTTCACCTCTGCTCAGGTCTCAGCGTTTCCAGAATTTCTACAACTATTTTACAAATTCTAAATGTGAATATTCAATTCTGTTCGACACTGACATCACAGAATTAGAATAAACTCATTGCATTCCACTTTTGAAATCAAAGCAATTTTAGTCTCTAAATCATGTCCTCTGTCTCAATAGTTCCTAACATCCTCAATTAGATTTTGCAACATTGTATTGCCCATGCATGTTGGGGTTAGGGTCGGTGTTAGGGTTTGTGTTAGCGGTAGGGTCTGGGATAGTGTTAGTAGTGGTACTCACTGTGATGGTAGTCTCTTTGCTCTGTCTCCTGGTGGGTGATGTAGGACCTGGATGCTGTTGAGAGAGACAGGATGCTCCGTCAAAACCTTCCTCTATGTCCGACATGGTCTCTGGCTAACATACATTCACACACCCACTCACACACACTGGAGCTGCTGGAGCTCTCTGGGAGTGACTGTCTGTGCGCTGCCTCCGCTTCGGCTACTGTGTGTGTGAGTGTGTGTGTGCTGAGTAGGGGGGCATTTCTGCAGCGCAGAGCAGCGTGCGTTTGGATGTCTGTGTGTGTGTGTGTGTGAACGCACTTCGGCTCAGAATATGTCATCGCATGAGCAATCTGAGTGTGTGTGTGTGTGTGTGTGTGTGTGTGTGTGTGTGGAGAGAAAGAGTGGGAGTAATGAGATGGAGTGGGGTAGAGGTCGATTTAAAAAAGGTAGACACAGAAAGCGAGAGAAAGAGTGAAAGAGAGAGTGCACATCCCCCACTGTCCATACCATGCCCACTGAAGCAAGACACAGGGCTGGCGAGAAGGAGGGAAGGAGAGGAGGAGGAAGGGAGGGGAGAGGGTTTATTGACAAAGTACGGAATGCACCACACCTCCTCTCCCTCTCTGAAAGAGAACAATAGAAAGAAAGGAGGAGTTAAAGGAGGAGTTAAAGGAGGGGTTAAAGTAGCTAAAGGAGGAGTTAAAGGAGGAGGGAGAGGAGCTGGGTAGTGGTGGGGTGTATGGTGTGTGTGTGTGTCTGAACGATGATGAGTGCTCTCCTAATTATGATCTGAGGATTAGATAATGAAAGGAATCAGGATGGAGAAACTGCTCTCTTTTCCTGGGGTAATGAGTATCATTATCTCATTTCATGATGACGAGGTAGTGTATATGCGTACACGCGCACGTGTCGGTCTTTGCCTCTGAGTCTTTGTGTGTGTGTGTTAAGGAGTTTGGGTAACCATGTCACCAGTAACCATGGCATTACTGTACATAGGAGAAATCTGCTGTTTGAAGCTATTACTGTACAGTATATCTATTGGCATAGCTTCTGCATAGTACTGTTTTGATAAAAGGACACAAGTAAAGCAATTTGTCAGCAACATGATGATTCTACTGTATATTCATACAGAGAAGATTGCAGTCACTGCTAAATGCTTTCGTTGACTGGCTACCACTGTGTGTTAGCGTGGTGGTGGCTGTTGGTGGTGTAACGTAATATGAAGAAATAGAATTGCCTATCTTCTGTGTGAACATAAGTATATGGGGTTCATGGGGTTCATGGGGAAGCCCTTAACTGGAGCAACGAGAGGAGGAGGAAGAGGAGGAAGAGGAGAAGGGAGGAGGGAGGAGGACAGCAGTTTTACCTGTGGTTCGGAACTGGGCTTTTTGACCAGACTGACGTGGGAGTGTTCATTCTGATGCAACGTACTGCCACTGGAGTGAAACCCATTCACTGTGGAGGGAGAGAGATGGAGAGAGAGGGGCAGGGGAGCGAGAGAGCGAGAAAGAGAGAGAGTGAGAGAGAGAATTAAATTTGTAGCACAGAGCCTGCGGAGGAGGAATAATGTGTGTTTGCCTCCTATGAGTTGTCTGTATATCTGAGCCGGGGGTAAATTCACTTATCTTTGTAACTCAAACAAAGCTATCAGAGAATCGCTTCTTCTTTGTCCTTTTGTTTGTTTAATGTCTTTAGCAGGGCGGTTACTGGAAACCAGAGACCGAGCACCTCAACAAACACAGCTCTGAGTCCAGACAGCCTGGGTTGTCCTCTGGTACACAGGCAAGGACAATTAGCTATTATTTGGGAGAGTTGCTCTGCATGTGTGTGTGCAATGTTTGCATGTGTTTATTTGAAGGTGTGTTTACGTGATCAGGCGGCTTGCGAGACTACATGTCAGTGCATGTGTTGGAGAGAATTATTATGCAGTCCAGATGAGATACCCCGCTGTGTTTAGTGAAACTAGACTCCATTGGCCGATCAGCCTGAGCAAGCAAACGTTTGGAGACCCCAAAGGCTAGAGTTCATCAGCCTAATTGAAACAGGCCCCCAGTCCTTAACTTACAACTATACCTTATACCTTACAATGAGGTGCAGGCTAACATTCAATGCAATTAAATTCTGTTAATCTTGTTCTTTCTATCTTGTACCAGTTTTCACCCTGGTGTTCCCTTGAGATTATCAATCTCTTCTTCAAGAGAAACCTGTCTGAGCAGTCAGCTTGCTCATATGTTATTGTTATCTCTTCTTAAGAGCAGAGTACTGTGCACCCAGACGACTCCAGATTGCAGATCAAATTAGCCACATGAAATGTGTGTGTGCGTGTGTGAGGCCTCTGGAATTCTCTGCGTGCTGCCACACAGCGGTAGGCCTATGTACAACCCTCAGGACACTGGCAAAGGAGGAAAAGTGAGAGAAAGAGAGGGAGAGAGAGTGAGGGAGAGGGAGTCAAGGACAGAGTGAGAGCGAGAGGGGGGGGATAAAGAGCAAGAACGAGAGAGAGAGAGAGAGGTTGCTTCAGTACCTGTAGGTATTGAGTTCTTGTGTTTCAGAGGGGTTTTGGGGGTCCCAGGTACACTGGAAGGTCTCTCCCACGTTGTCTCTGGAACCAGACAGGAACAAATGTAACTTGTGAGGTCAGACATACATGGAAATTGAGAGAAATACATAGGATATCTCTAACCTGGAGTTCATTGCAGGTCCAAGAGGGTTACATGAAACAAAAACTTGTTCATATTAAGATTCTTGATGATTATGTTGACGGGTCGTTCTTGAATTGCAACGTCATTTTTCTAGATGTGTATTTCGGTAAATGTGTTGAGTACATCTTCCCATTCTAAATCAATTAATATGGCATCTTAATGACTTTAAATCATGTTTACCATTATGATAACATTGTGCCACCAGTAGGAGTAGTGACACCAATGACACATTTGAGGTAAATTAGGATTTTCTTAAAAATGGAGGCCACAGATGCTCAAATCTAAGGTCATTAATCCTTGAAAAATGATTTATTAAAGTGATATGATGAATCATTTTGCTCACAATGTAAATTCCCTTCATTTAAATTGAGTAACACCATGTGACACTTTGGATTTGGACACCAAATTATCTAAATAATCCTCAATTTTTTTACATAATAATAGGGTGTGATTAGCTAATAATTGTTTTTAATATAGACCCCTCCCCCAATAACAGTTTGCCACTGGAAGCAATACACAAGGTCCTTGTATATCTTTGTAATAAGTGATTTTAAGGCGGTAACACCAATGACAAAACTAAGGGACACATTATATTGGGGGGATACGGTTATTGATCTATACAATATATAAAATACTTTTGTTTACTTTCTAGCATTCATGATAATAGATAGTTATCTCTAAATCCCCAAAACATGTCACTACAACTCTACTGGTGTGATGCGTTTGATAGAAGGAGTCAGGCGCAGGAGAGTAATACGCATCCAAAGAGTTTATTCCGTCGCTAAACAGTTGCGCAAGCATGCGACAACAAAACTCAGGCACAGGAGAAATATCTACCCTGGCAACAACAAGGTAAGGGTAGCTCAACCGAGCTACACACATCTCACTACAAACAATCACCCACACAGACAAGGAAGCAGAGGGAACACTTATACAAGGACTAATTGGGGATAAGGACCAGGTGTGTGTGATTAATTAGACAAGACAAGTGATGATAAATGGATCGGCAGCAGCTAGTAAGCCGGTGATGACGAACGCCGAAACCTGCCCGAACAAGGAGGGGAGGCAGCCTTGGCAGAAGTCGTGACAGATTCCGGGTCGAGAGCCAGAACCGATACCCCGGTACAAAGACGGGGGCCTCACTGCGGTGGCGGTCAGCGTTGGCCTTCTGACGACGCACGGCGCGTTGGAGGTGAACGTGGGCAGCATCCCACGTCTCCTCTGCGCACCGAAACCAGTCATCCACCGCAGGAGCCTCGGTCTGGCTCTGGTGCCACGGTGCCAGAACCGGTTGGTAACCTAGAACACACTGGAAAGGCGTTAGGTTAGTGGAGGAGTGGCAGAGATTGTTCTGGGTATATTCTGCCCATGGCAAGAACACAAACCACTCCCCTGGCCGGTCCTGGCAGTAGGACCGCAGGAACCTACCCACGTCCTGATTTACCCGTTCCACCTGCCCATTACTCTCGGGTTGGAACCCAGAGGTCAGGCTGACCAAGACCCCCAGACGTTCCATGAATGCCTTCCAGACCTTGGACGTGAACTGGGGACCTCGGTCAGACACTATATCCTCTGGTACCCCGTAGTGCCGGAAGACGTGAGTAAACAGGGCCTCCGCAGTCTGCAGGGCCGTGGGGAGACCGGGCAGAGGAAGGAGGCGGCAGGACTTTGAGAAGCGGTCCACAACGACCAGGATGGTGGTGTTACCTTGGGAGAGGGGAAGATCAGTCAGAACATCAATGCTAAGGTGAGACCATGGTCGTTGTGGAACAGGTAAAGGTTGTAGCTTACCCGCTGGGAGGTGCCTAGGTGCCTTACTCTGGGCGCACACCGAGCAGGAGGAGACGTACACCCTCACGTCCTTAGCCAAGGTAGGCCACCAGTATTTTCCGCTCAGGCAGTGCACTATACGACCGATACCTGGGTGACCAGAGGAGGGTGACGTGTGTTCCCAGAAGATCACGGATAAGAGCAGGCACATACTGCAGCCCAGCTGGACACTGCAGTGGAGATGGATCTGTGCGTAATGCCTGCTCTATATCCGCGTCCATACTACCGGCGCCACAATGCGGGAGGCCGGGAGTATGGGGGTGTTATCTCTGGGCCTCTCCTCTGTGTCATACAGCCGGGACAGTGTGTCTGCCTGTACGTTCTTCGTACCCGGAATGTATGACAATGTAAAATCAAACCGGGTGAAGAATAGGGCCCGCCTGGCGAGGATTCAGCCTCCTCACTGCCCGGATGTACTCCAAGTTACGGTGGTCCATCCAGACGAGGAAAAGGTGTTTCGCCCCTTCGAGCCAATGCCTCCACACGGTCAAAGCTCGGACAACAGCCAACAGCTCCCGATCACCAACGTCGTAGTTCTGCTCCGCCGGGCTGAGCTTCTTCGAGAAGAAGGCACGGGGCGGAGCTTGGGTGGCGTGCCAGAGCGTTGGGATAGGACAGCGCCCATCCCTACCTCGGACGCATCCACCTCCACTACAAACGGTAGTGATGGATCGGGGTGGGCTAGTACCGGAGCTGAGGTGAACAGACCCTGCAGTCTCCTGAAGGCCAGAACCACCTCAGCAGACCAGCGGAGCCGGAATGGCCCACCCTTCAACAGGGATGTGATGGGAGCTGCGACCTTGCCAAAGCCCCGGATAAACCTTCGATAGTAGTTGGCAAAGCCTAGGAATCGCTGCACCTCCTTAACCGTGGTTGTAGTCGGCCAATTACGCACGGCTGAAATGCGATCTCCCTCCATCTCCACCCCTGAGGTGGAAATGCGATATCCAAGGAAGGAGATGGACTGCTGGAAAAACATACACTTCTCTGCCTTAGCATAAAGGTAATTCTCCAACAGTCGGGCCAGCACCTTGCGAACCAGGGACACATGCTCAGTGCGAGTAGCGGAATACACCAGGATGTCATCGATGTAGACCACTACACCGCGACCAAGCATGTCCCGAAACACCTCATTCACAAAGGACTGGAAAACTGAGGGAGCATTCATCAAACCATAGGGCATCACCAGGTATTCATAATGCCCCGTGGTTGTGCTGAATGCTGTCTTCCACTCATCTCCCTCTCGGATACGCACCAGGTTGTATGCACTCCTGAGAACCAATTTGGTGAAGAAGCGCGCCCCATGCATCGATTCAACCGCTGAAGGAATGAGGGGGAGAGGATGACTAAATCTGATTGTCTCCCTGTTCAGTGGTCAATAATTAATGCACGGGCGCAGACCGCCGTCCTTCTTCTTCACAAAGAAGAAACTCGAGGAGGCGGGTGAAGTGGAGGGACGTATATACCCCTGACGCAGGGACTCGGTGACATATGTCTCCATAGCTACCGTTTCCGCCTGTGACAGGGGGTATATATGACTCCTGGGAGGTACAGCGTCTACCCTGAGGTTTATCGCGCAATCCCCCGCCCGGTGAGGTGGTAACTTAGTCGCCTGCGTTTTAGAGAACGCTTGCGCCAGATCACGGTATTCGGAGGGAATGCGCATGGTGGAGATACTATCTGGACTTTCCACCGTGGATGCACCAACGGAAACATCTAGACACCTACCCTGACACTCACACGACCACCCTGTGAGAGCCCTCTGCAGCCATGAGAAGGTGGGATATCAGGAGAGATCCAGATATCCCGACCACGGGCGTTTGAGGGGACAGCGGCGCTTTACCAGGGATTCCTCCTCCAATTGGAGCTTTACTTCGCCAGCATCAGGCCGGCACCATCGGAGTGGGAGAAGGTGTCCGTCCTCATTTCCTGCCTCTGTGGGAAATCCCTGGAGTGGGCCAACGCAGTGTGGAACGAAGGAGGAGCCGCGTTGGAGGCCCTGATCGACCATTTCCGGTGCCATCTGCAGGAGGACGTCCGACGGGAGCTAGCCTGCCGGGACACCATGTTGTCCTTCGATAAACGGGTGGGTGATTCTGTGATGCGTGTGATAGAAGGAATCAGGCGCAGGAGAGTAATACGCATCCAAAGAGTTTATTCCGTCGATAAACAGTTGCGCAAGCATGCGACAACAAAACTCAGGCACAGCTCACTACAAACAATCACCCACACAGACAAGGAAGCAGAGGGAACACTTATACAATGACTAATTGGGGATAAGGACCAGGTGTGTGTGATTAATTAGACAAGACAAGTGGAGTGATGATAAATGGATCGGCAGCAGCTAGTAAGCCGGTGACGACGAACGCCGAAACCTGCACGAACAAGGAGGGGAGGCAGCCTCGGCGGAAGTCGTGACAACTAGGTCACTGCTGGGACAAGAGAATTTGCATACCCTAAGTACGTTAAACAATGCATAAACATAAAGTTGTGCAGTATAAATCACTTGCATTATTTTTTATCATTGAGAAACTATTCAATATAAACAAAAACATGTATGATGTGTAGCTAGCTGTCATTTGAAAGTGTTTTTCATGGTTGCGAAGGCGAGGGACGCACATGACCCTGACCGTTTCTGTCCAATCTAACTAAACAATAGTCAGACTGACTTTGGCACTGTATCAACTTCCCAGAGCGATATAGGAATATGAGCCAGATTCACTAAGTGTTTGCACCTGTGAGCAGAGCATTGCACCTGCTATTTTCATAATCAGAATAAAAGACAAAACAACAAAGAAATCTTTATTTAATCTTTTGTTTTACCACTTTATCTTCAACTCCCTGTGTTAAAAATAACAGGTGCAAACTTTCAGTAAATCCAATATGGCTGTTTAACTTCACCAATAGACTCTCTGCCGCACTCTTTCAATTCATGTGTCCCCATTTTACTCTTGCCGGAGGAAGCAAGAACAAGAGAAGGAGAGAACGAAAGAAAAGAGGATAAGAAGCATGACTGACACAGAACCTGATAGAGAGAGAGAAAATATGTGATTCACTTAACTCCAATATCCAAATTCACAATACAACTTTGATCTCAATTAGCCCTTAGTGTCACCAGAGAGAGAATAGCCGTTGAGACTAAAGAGCTTTTATTTCATTTGTGTCTTTGGCTAGCACTCAGCTGTCTGCCTGTACTAAGCAGAGCGGGAGACAGAGCCAAAACCATCAGTTCGGATGACACACATGGAGAGAGAGAGAAAGAGAAAGAGAGAGAGAGAGAGAGAGAGAGAGAGAGAGAGAGAGAGAGAGAGAGAGAGAGAGAGAGAGAGAGAGAGAGAGAGAGAGATTTGGCAGACAGACTCAGAGGAGGAGAGAGTCTTTCCCTTCCGATCTGATGTATAACACTGTCACAACACAGTCACAATGGTTCATTAAAAGGTGCTTTCTGCCTCTATTTCTCTCCGTTAGCTTGTCAAAGGAAATCGATCTGATGGGAGGAATCGGATATTAATGGAGAGAAATACAGTATAATTAGGTTTGCTCTGGAGAATTGTATGTCACTGTATCCTTCTCTCAGGAGCTACAGCAATCACAATGAAATCCTGAGAAGGGACAAGTCTCTCTAAGTGTCATTATGCTATAATAATGATACATCAAGATAGGGTTCAATCAAATCTCGACTACAATCTCTATAATTGTCATTGTGCTATAAAATACATCAAAAGAATAATTCAGAATAATTCAATCTAATCTCTACTGCAATCTAAACAATCTCAACTAAATAGTCTGAGTGGGAACAGGTATTCTAGTATATCAATAAAGATGGAATCCGCAGTAGGGGAAACAGCGCCACTGTAAGCCCCACTGCCGCTGTTATTGTTTTTGTTTTGTTGATGAAATGGAGTTGAGGAGCGTCACGCAACGTGGTAAAAGAAATTGCATTGCAGTATATATTCTGCTGTTCTATCGCACGTGCAATGATGTCAGAGGGGGAAAAAACAGTGTTTGTTGTTTGCATTAACTTCTTAGTTGTTGTAATATCGCAAACGGATGCAGCTACTTCAAGAGACATTGACATGTGAAATTAGCATGAGTAAAGGCAGGTAGCTTAGTGGGTAAGAGCGTTGTGCCAGTAACCGAAAGGTCGCTGGTTCTAATCCCCGAGCCGACTAGGTGAAAAATCTGTCGATGTGCCCTTGAGCAAGGCACTTAACCCTAATTGCTTCTGTAAGTCGCTCTGGATAAGAGCGTCTGCTAAATGACTAAAATGTAAAATGTAAATGTAAAGTGTGTCAATGAGCGAAGTTAAATATGGGTTAACGTTCTATTTAGATAGCAAGTCTCTGTGACAAGTGACCTTATAGTTTCAATTACATTGACAATGTGTTAATTTCATGTGCAGGCCTAGTTGCATGACAACTTTAATAAGAAAATGAACAGGAAATGAATTTTTCAATGTTTCAATTACATTGAAAAAATTACTTAATTTTATGTGTAGGCCTCTATGCATGACACTTTTAATCAGAAAATGAACAGGAAACTAATGTAATATCAGTGGATAATGGATTGAAAGATGAAAGAAACATCTCTATTTACTATCAGGATTACAACAGAGCTGTAACTCTGTTTACATCAAAAGGGTCTGTTACTTAGCAACTGGCACCTGGAAATGCAGATTGGAGTGATTATCTACTTCACATCAGTGTGCTCAGATGAGAGGTAGGCTGCAGCTCTACACACATCCTCCAACGTATTTACTTTGTAACAAGCTCATTACAAAGCTATAATTCCAGGATAGCTGAGACAAGAGTTGAATACACTTACACAGGGGTGTCAAACTCTTTTTGCCCCGGGGGACCGCAATTTTTTATTTATTATTTTCCTCGCCGTCAAAATTAGTTTAAAAAATAGTCTTCTATCCATTGTTTTTTGACTTTTCGATGCTCCCTGACTGTCTAGCGTTCATTTCGGTGATTATTAGCGAGCTGGACACAGTCAAGAAACTGTATGAATGTAGGTCCATTATAATTTCTACACAGTTTTGATTTGGTTTTAGTCATTTAAAAGTATATTGAGTTCCTTCCCCCACCACACAAACATTTTGCCATGGGGGTATTACTAGGTATTACAGCACTGTTGGAGCTAGAAACACAAGCATTTCGCTGCACCTGTGAGAACATCTGCAAATCTGTCTACGTGACCAACAAACTTTGATTTGATTTGAAAACATTGCAATTTTATCAATTTCCTGCAATTCTACACATTTTGTAATGACTTAAGCCATGTTAATATGATATCTGAGTGAGAATGACTAACAAAATCAATTGGGGGCCCCATAGAGGTCAGGGCCCCTGGGCACGTGCCCTGCATGCCCGGTCAGTATTCGGCCATGATTACTACAAGTTTAGATAGCTGGCTAGACTAACTACCAATCTAAAAATTGTTAGCTGACATGGCTAATTGAGTGACTGTCAGTGACTGACATAACGAGAAAAACTGCTGATTCACAACCAAATTTCGAAATTGCACCTGTTGTATTCTACTATTCTTATTCTCAATAGTAAGTTGCGACCCCGACTGAGTTCCTAAAACAATTATGATAATTGTGTCGGGGGCTCCTAGCAGCAGGGGGACCTAAGCAACCGCTTATGTCGCTTATGCCTGGAACCGGCGCTGGTTGTGTGGGATATCAATGTGAGTGAATATAATTAGTAGTAATATGGCCTAGTTAGGTCTAACAATCCCCATCTTTAATTCATAACCAGCTGACGCTCTGACACTCTCCACGCACACATGCGCGCACACACACACACACACACACACACACACACACACAGACTACATTTATCTGGTTATAGCCTGGAGGGTAACTCACAAATGCCCAATACAGCTCACAATAAATAATTCATTGAAAAAAGTAAGGACAAAGGATGGTATCTGTCAAAAAGTCATATTGAGGGAACTAAGCATAAAACATTGTGTCACTGTAGCCTATACAGAGTCTACCGAAACGTTTATAGACAACGATAAACAGTCTAGGCATCTATAAAATGTCTAACAGTGTCTGTTGGGTGACGGCAGGCTGTGGGTCTCTAAGAAGGAAACCTCTAAGAAATGAGCTGTAACTCAGGAACCGTTACATCGCTAGCTCACCCACGCATGATGGTCCTCTGGTTACTATAGCAACGCAGAAACATAACGCACACGGCCGCACATGCATTTACGTGTCGTGCGCACACACATAGCACACACACACTCACTCAGAGAGAACATTATCTAATCTATCTGAACTTTAACTTAGAGATAGGGAGGCCTGGTTGAAATAGCTGATATCCTATAAATAACAGATTGGTTCAGCGAAATGTTATTAGATAGTTGGAGACTGTTTGGAAAAGACCTAGTTACAGTGGCTCTGCTGGTAAACTGTGTGTGTGTGTGTGTGTGGACTGTGCATTTATTGTGCTTAAATTTCCAATTACTTGAGGAAAGAACATAAAATAAGGACTGGTGATTGTCTATGCCCCTCAGAGGCCGATTTCGCAATACCACAACTACAATAACCATTTACATTTTTCAGCTGGGATGACTGTTACAGCTGTGTGTATTTTTGTGCAAAGTAATGAAAGATTAAGCATTTCCCTCCAAGGAAATCTGACAGCAAATAAAACGAATCCAACATCAAGAACAAAAGAGTGTCATGGGATCATATCACCCTCCTCTCATCTCTCTGCAACCCTGTGGAGTCAGAGAGATGATTATCTACTGAAGATATGGTTATTCTCCAGATAGAAAAACACACAACAGATCAGTGGAATCAACTCAGGGATGAAATGAGTATGTAAGGGAAATAACAACTGAAAGTGAAGGGGTTTTGCCATGCTTTTGGCTGTGTGGTAGACAATCCTTCAGAAGAGGGTGTAGCCAAACATGACTGTCCTCTAGTTTGGTTTGTCTTTTCTCTTTCCCATTAACCAAAGAGACCTTCATCTAAAAGGAGAGAGAGGAAGGAGCTAAAGGAGCAACTTGTTATTCTGGTCGTGTTTCTGGTTTGCCTAATTTTAGATGTTTTCTCATTGCCAAGTGCAGACCCCTGCGATCATGTGTCCTACTCCACACACACACACACACACACACACACACACACACACACACACACACACACACACACACACACACACACACACACACACACACACACACACACACACACACACACACACACACACACACACACACACACACACACACACACACACACACACAGTAAAATAGAGAAACATTGATCCAAGACATGCACACAGGGAATGCCTTTGGTCTTAATTATAGCTACTATCATTCACAACACATTAACTTGTTAAGGCACTGAATGGCTTTACTCACTCAAGTGAGTGGTGTCATGACAAAAATACAGTATGTCTACATCTTCTATCGTCTACAACCTCCCAGTGCTACGCTGCCAATCTTACTTCTCCTCAAAATATAACCAGCATCTGTAAACTCATAACCTCATTAATCTATTCTCCCTCCCCCCTCTCTCTGAGAGTTGCCATGATGCCCACAGCATGCATAATAACATCCCCCAGGAGGTCTTCCATTCCATTTCACACCATCATGTCAACACTTCACGTTTCCTCCGGAGTTCATTTAAGGTTAGTAAATCAATACTGTGCCAGTCCATGTCCTGTTCTAAACAGAGGAAAGCACACCGTGTTGCTTTCTCAGTTTCTGTGTGTCTCTGTCCCTGTGTGTGTGTTTGAGTGGTGGTGCTGGGGAGAGAGACAGACAGCTAATTGTGTGGACAGAAACAATGGTGTGAAGAGGAGAGAGAAGAGGAGATATCTTCCCCAAGTCTTTAATGTGCCTCAACACCCAGCAGTACCAGTCAGACACCTCAGCAGTCAGCTAGTGCTCTGAGGACATTGTTATGTAGCAGTGCTACATTGAATGTCTCATTGCCATTGAGTTTCACTCATACCGACTTTCAACATCTCTAGATTCATATGAATCAACTTATCTTAGGCAATACATGTATATCAGCCTCTATTTCTGTCCTTACCGTTGCTGGCTGTGTTGACATAGTAGTGCCGCCCTTGTGGTGACATGTAGCACTTCCAGTGTTGAGGGAGAGGCTCTCCGAGGTCCTCAACAAGCAGTGAGGTCATAGACGCAGTTTTCTGTCAAAACAGATAAATAAAATACATATAAGATGAATAAAATGAACATAAGGGCTTTCAGCTTTCACATGAGAGTGCTTACCGAGTGTTTTATTTCTGGCTCATTTCACAATCAGCAACCATTGGCGGAAAGACTGCGGTATATTGCAATACAAAGAACAACAAACAACTAGAGCCAGTCTGCTATTGGCCAGGCATGATAGAACTGATTGAACGTGCATGCACACACACTACGCTGACTAACACAGGTGAGTGTGTAGCCAACTCTGGCCAGCTGCTATTGATTAACAACACGAAAACAACATAGTTAAGTACAAGGCCAAGGCCAAGGCCATTGTAACACATTATTGGATGTTATTGTGGTGGTTGGGAAAACCGGATGAAATTCCATAACAATTACTCTCTGTTATTGGAGCGGGTGCCAACTCGCTCAAGCAACTATAAGAGATTAGTTTTAGTGGGTGTAAGTAATTATAATCCAAAAGACTGGAGTGATTCAGGAAAGTTGTACGTGCAGGTTAAGGAAATGTAACTATTACATGGCTGCATGTCTACAGCGGGACAAAGGAGGGAGAGCTAGGCTTATTAGTTAATGGGAACCCTGGATGATGTTTTGGTGAGGGGCAATTCCACGGTACACTCAAAACAATGCTGGGTTAAAAACAACCCAATTTGGGTTATTTGGTAACCCAGCCCTGGGTAAATATTGGACAGAACACACGCAGGGTTATTTTGACCCAGCCAGTTGGGTTGTGTGAATAACCCAACATGTTGCGTTATTTTGATTACCCAAACATGGGTTAATTTAACCATCAATTGGGTTTTTATTCACTTTCATTCTGGGTTGACCCAGCAGCTGGGTCTCTTTTAATGTAATCCATAGGTTCTTTTCAGGAGGCGTGGTATATTAGGGGCGTGGCTTTCATATCGTTATTTTTGGCTACCCGTGAGAGTAAATGTCATTCCTGTTCATTATGTTACGTTTGTACACTGAACATTTCAATTTTCCTTGAATATTTTTTCACATCACGTATTTTAATATAACATTAATAACATTATTATTTACATATTGTAAAAAGTGGTAACTATACAGACATTGGAATATGCATGAGGAACTCATACACTTGTATAAGCCTCATTAAAGCTACAAATGTGTCAGTGTTCAACCATAACATGTGATAACAATACAACAGAACAGATTAAATGGAATGACATTTACTCTACTAAACTACACCTTCAGTCTTCTGATCTGCTGGGTCATATCTCAATAACCCAGCATTAATAACCCAGCATCAACAACCCAACTAAGTGACCCAATGCCTTTTTTTTTTACGTTTTTTTTTTAAACTGCTGGGTTATTGATGCTGGGTTATTGAGATATGACCCAGTTGGTCAGAACAGAAGGCTCAAGGCATAGTTTAGTAGGGGCATGGCTTTCAGATAGTTATTTTTAGCCACCCATGAGAGTAAATGTAATTCCTGTTCATCTGTTGTAGAGTTATCAAATGTTGAGGTCAAACGTTTACATTTTTGTAGCTTCAATGACGCTTACAAAAATGTATGAGTTCCCTAAAAGCCTATGTAAATCCCATTGTTGTCCCAATAATATTCAAGGAAAATTGAAATTTCCAGAGTACAAACTTAACATGATGAACAGGAATGAATGAATGACATTTACTCTCACGGGTGGCCAGTAAGATCTAGCTGAACGCCATGCCCCTAATAAACCAGGTCTCCTGAAAATAACCTAAGGATTCCATTCAAAAAGACCCAGCTGCTAGGTAAACCCAGCATGAGAGTGAATGAAACCCAACTGATGGTTAAATTAACATGTTGGGTTATTCACGCAACCCAATTTGCTGGGTCAAAATAATGCAGCGTGTGTTCTATCCATTATTTACCCAAATTGGGCTGTTTTTAACCCAGCCTTTTTTTTGTGTAACAGAGTGACACTGAGACAAGGACTACTTTCAACGATTTCCACTGACATTTTACAAAAACACATTTACTTGAAGAACAGTGCAGATGCAAAGTTTGGTAACAGAATGACAGCACAAACAGTCATTCTGTTACCAAACTTTGCATCTGCACTGTTCTTTAAGGAAATGTGTTTTTGTAAAATGTTATGTTGAAATTGTTACAAGTGGTCCTTGTGTTGTATGGTTTGTTTAACTTTGAAATGATTGGTTTTTGTTTGACATACATTTTAAAAGGTCCAATGCAGACGTGTTTATCTCAATATCAAATAATCTCTGGTTAACAATTAAGTACCTTACTGTGATTGTTTCAATTAAAATGGTCAAAAAGAAACAAAAATAGCTTCTTAGCAAAGGGCAATTTCTCAAACAAGAATTTTGCTAAGACTGTCTGGGAGTGGTCTGAGTGTGGAGGGAGAAACTGAAAATGAGCTGTTATTGACAGAAAGGTTTGGAACTCTCTTTCTTATTGGTCTATTAACTAATTTACTGTATAGTGATGTCACCATGGAAGGCCAAAACTCCATCCCACCAAAACAGGCTGAAATGTCAGGCAGTCTTTTCAAACAGCTCTTTAGCCGTCTGCATGCTTCCCAGCCGAAACAGTTCGGAAGAGTTTGTGCATATATTACGGTGACATTGTGACGTTTCTGTTAGTTTTGGACTTCGGTAAGGGTTTTTTGGGGAGGCCAGCCGAAGTTCGGGAGCCGAAGTCTACGTCCTCCGTCCGTGATTGGTCAACTGTAGGGATTCTTCAATAAAGTCTTTGTTGTCATTCAACGAGAGATTACCATTGTCATGCAAATATTTTCATTGAGAAATACTGCACCAAACATATTAGTTAGATGTACAATTGCGTCACTAAGAACTTAATGACAGATTTGAGTTATCTTAGAGTAATTCTGGCTATTTTGAGGAAGTGTATACTGGCTAAGGCATATCAAACAGGACAAACAGTACTATTGCCACTTTTTTCTCATTTTTCAAGCAAAGGTCTTTTAAGGGAGTATGCGAGCACACTCGTCCAACTTCGGCTAGCCGCCAGCTGAACTGAAGCATGCTGACGCCTTTACACTAAAAGGGCATTATCATAATTTACAGTATTATTCCAGCCTCATAGTGTGGAAATATATACAGTGCCTTCAGAAAGTATTCACACCCCTTGACTGTTTCCACTTTTTGTTGTGTTACAGCCTGGATTAAATATAGTTTTTTACCCCCTAATTTTTTACAAATTAATAAAAAATGAAATGCTGAAATGTCTTGAGTCAAAAAGTATTCAGTCCCTTTGTTATGGCGCGCCTAAATAAGTTCAGGAGTAAAGATGTGCTTAACAAGTCACACAAGTTGCATGGACTCACTCTGTGTGCAATAATAGTTTTTAACATGATTTCTGAATGACTACCTCATCTCTGTACCCCACACATTCAATTATCTGTAAGGTCCCTCAGTCGAGCAGTGGAATTGCCCTGAAAGTATTCCAACATCATATAAGCTCATTCACAGACCTCCTACTACTGTTATTCTTAATCACCTTCAAATACATCTAATCCCTCTCTTCAGCTAATCATCAAGATCAGCTTAGTCTGGTTTGTTGGTTGGTGATGGGCTGGAGCAACAGCCTTCACACCCCTCCAGGTTCAAGGCTGATGACCACTGAACTAGAGTCTAGTAACCGGCAATGCAGGCATCTTGAGTCATACATATTTGACCAGTCATAATTCCATCAACTTGAAATGCTGGAAAAATGCTATGGAACAAATATTTCAAATCTAATATGCATCACCATCATTATATACAATCAGACACAACCTGTACACAATTGTTTCTGATTTAATAGTCAACTAGTCATTTTTATATTTGAAAGGGATATGAGACAGCATTCTAGAATGCTAAAATGATCTGGGAGGAACAGGGTCTAACATGAATGAATCACCAATATTATACACAAAATGTCCCTGAGAATCAAATATCAACACAGACACATCACCACATTACCTCACTAATGCTGGGAATAAGAACCCATGCTACTTAGTCTTCAACGATGACATCAACAACGTGCAGGATTCATTTATATATTTGAAGACAGAAACTGTCCCTCAAGACAAGTTGTTCTTTTTCTGTCCCTCTCAGAATTAACTCATTCCATTCAACACTTTCTGGGCGGCAGGTAGCTTAGTGGTTAAGAGCGTTGTGCCAGTAACCGAAAGGTCGCTGGTTCTAATCCCCGAGCCGACTAGGTGAAAATTCTGTCGATGTGCCCTTGAGCAAGGCACTTAACCCTAATTGCTCCTGTAAGTCGCTCTGGATAAGAGCGTCTGCTAAATGACTAAAATGTAAAAAGAGAAGAGAAGAGAAGAAAAGAGGAGAGGTTTGCTGCTGGTCCCATAGGGATGGAGAGTATGAAGCGACGTCAACACTGGGTGACTTATGACTCCATGTAATTATACAGAACATTACAGCACTGCACTTCCTTTGATGGTCTCAGTGGTCACTGTGTTATATATATAATGTCTACATCCGCACTCCAGAAATTGATTTACTTAACTAAACTTGGATGTTCTCTGTTTATTAAGAAATGGAGGTGTATAATGTTTCAAAACAGAAAGAAGAAAAAATGGGATGGTTGTAAGTGAGCATGCTGTCCTGATGGGGGTAGTGGTCAGAATTATGTCATTAAAGAGCAACCAAAGGAAAAAGGATACTGTCGCTACACTAAAGCAGGAACCACCAGTGACTCGGTTAATAAAGAAGTGGTCAGATGACGCAGATGCTAAGCAACAGGACTGTTTTGCTAGCACAGACTGGAATAAGTTCCGGAATTCTTCCGATGGCTTTGAGGAGTACACCACATCAGTCACTGGCTTCATCAATAAGTGCTTGGCCCCAGTGATGTACGCACTACCCTCTATAGTGCTTTGCGGTCAGAGGCCGAGCAGTTGCCATACCAGGCGGTGATGCAACCAGTCAGGATGCTCTCGATGGTGCAGCTGTATAACTTTTTGAGGATCTGAGGACCCATGC